AGAAGAAGTTGTTTAAAGTTTTTAACATATTTGACCCCTGTGACCTTGAATATGGGTGAAGGTCATTCATTTGAACAAACTTTGTAGCCCTTCATCTTAGCATGCTACTGGCCCAATATCATCACCCTGTGCATTTTGGTTATTGAGAAGAAGTTGTTTAAAGTTTTTAACATATTTGACCCCTGTGACCTTGAAAATACATGAAGGTCATTTATTTGAACAAACTTGGTAGCCCTTCATCCCAGTTTACTTCTGGCCAAATATCATCACCCTAGGCCTTTCGGTTATTAAGAAGAAGTCGTTTAAAGTAAAATATTGACGACGGACGCCGGACGGACGACGGACGCCGCACCACGGCATAAGCTCACTTGGCACTTCGTGCCAGGTGAGCTAAAAATGGATAAATAAAATCTATCAATTTATTTATAGCAGCAAATGTTTGTAGCTAATGCGTTTTCGTACTTACGGAATTTTTTAATTCAATTATTTAGCAATATAGAACACAAAAATAACACCAAATAAGAGTTATTTCTTCACCATTTTCATTTAATACATTAATTTATCAGGTTAAAAAGATTTTGTTCTATAATCACATTTATTTGGTTTACTGAAGCAATTTGTTGTATTAACATGTCAGGTCCCTCCCTTGTTAAACACATCACATCTGTGAGTGGAGGAATAAGCATTGTACTCAATGAAGTTCTCAAAATTTTTACTTGAATTATTAATTCTCATGCAAGTTCTCACCATTTCATTCAAGTTCTCATCTGAAGAAACCACATTTAACACTGTCATGTCCAACATGGAACACATTGTATACAGGAGCCAGCTACTGTGAACCTTTACCAGGTTTATCCTGGGTCTTGGATAAAACATGTAGCACCATTAATCACTATTAGATCCACAGTTCCTTATCCACATCCAAGGCGTTTTTTTCACATTCGCAGGGTGGATTTAAAATTGCCAATAGACAACAGTTTTTATCTCTATTCAGTTGTCATCAATCACTATTTGAGATAACATCTTTCAAGACAGCATGCACACCTTACTTTTCTTTAAAATAATGTAAAAATAAATTACATTTTTTCAGCACATCATCCAAATTGTTCACATTCTGTAATCATAGTGTACCCATCTTGTCCTGAGTTTGCTTCTTTATTCCCGATATCATTTTGGTCCAACACTTTACTCCCTTCTTCTGCCTCGGTAGACATCTTGTCCCTGTCTTGGGCCTCTTCCCATGTCTCATCCTGTTCTTTGGCACCATCTTCTCCCGACCTCTGACCCCAGTCTGTATCGAGTACCAATTCCCCGTAGTATGCAGTGATGGTTTTCAGTTTGTTGTTGAGGAGATTCTGTTCAACTTCTACGTGACCTCCCGGTCCCGCCAAGGCTGTCAGCTGACAACAATAAAAGTCAAAGTTTCATTAAACTAGAAAATGCCTGTAAGACATGAGGAATGCCCTAGTACCATCTCAAGTTAGTGTCACCATTTCACAAATTTCTATAAATAGTAATTGTGACCTTGTTCATGACCTTCAAATATTGAAATATATCGGGTATTCTCATACAAGACCTTTTCTAAAATTGGATCTAAATCCATTGTTCCGAAATGAAGTCACCAAGAGATGACACTAAAAGTGGACGAGGCGGAGGACGACAAGGCAGGAAGTGAGGGGAAAGACATGTTAAATAGTGGCGACACAAACATTTCTACACGTGAGAATTTCCACTTTTACACTTTCCACTTTTTACTCCTCCTCCCCTCATAAAGTGTCAGAGTTGAAAAACCTCAGAAAGGAGACAGAAAATACTTCAATGTGTAGTGCTAGATAATTTTAAGCATGCACTTTATTTTCATATTAATAATTGTGTCAATTTAGACATGAAAGTTAAATTTGAAGCCCTACCTCTGCAAACTTTGGATAATATTAATGTATTCATAACATATTTCCAATATGATTCATCAGTTTGCAAATATGTTATAAATGTATCAAGAGTCCAGCCAACACCCAACAAAAGGATCCTACCTAATATTGGAACGGCGTTGGCTCTTCTCCCCCTTTATAAGAGTTTTACTTTATACAGAAAGTATTTATCAAACGTGTCGCAACGTTTCAAGACCGACTGGTCTCTTTGTCAAGCTAGACTTTTGTGTATTAAGTAAAACTAAAACTTTGATATATTCATATCATATCCAGTAATACAGCATTTACTGAAATATAGAGTTTCGTTGGTATTCATTGTATATTGAAACCAATTTTATCTTGGTAAAATTAACAACTTAACCAATGCTCAATTACAAACTTGTTTTGCGACTCACCTGCTCAAAATCAGAATTCCTTGGAACAAAAAAAGCAATGTTATTTGTTATCTTCTTAGAAGCCTCAAATATATCTGAAGTAAAACTGTCAAGGAAAAGTCATGACCGATCAAAGTGAAACACAACAACAGAAAATATTGACATCCTGCAGGGTAATTTCAGATATAACGCATCTCAAAAATAAAACGTCAGTTCATAGCTATCAAAGGCTATACTAAACATATTTCTGGAACTATTTTTAATACAGTTTCATTGCTTAATAAATTGATAACATATTATATATGTATAAGGTGTTTGAAATATGCATGTAAAAGAGTTAATTATATTTCTCAACACCTTCGCTAGGGGTCGAACCTGGCATTACTGGTTTACTACATTTTAGCTCTCCGGCACAATACCAAATGAGCTTTGGATCCCGTTTTCTCCTTTTATTTGATGTTTTCCTCTCAATTGCCAAACCCCTTTATAATGCCATCATTTAAATGGTGGCAGTATAACGAGGATTACTGTGTTTAATATGTAAAGGATATGCTTTCAGTTCCATCATGCTCTCCAGATCAAACACATCCGCGTTGAGATAGTCTGGCCCACCCCACGGAGGACTGAGGAACACAACGTCCGCTTTGAGTAGTGGCGCCACCTTGAGGAAGTCACTGGTGATGAATTCAATTCTATCCTCTACCCCATACACGGCCGCATTGTGTCGGGCACACTCGACCTTGGCAGGGTCAATGTCAACAGCAATCACTAGGGAGAATGCAAACACTTGTATATTCTTTTATGAAACTACATTAATTGATCAAAAAATATGTATTTAACTAAATAATAAGCACCTAGATGTAGCTGTGCTTCTCTGCAATTGAAATTGTGTTTGTTAATTTAAAGACATAGCTAGCCTCTAACTATATGCAGTGTTTTATGTGTAGCGGAAATGCACTGGGTCGTTTGTCGGTAACCAGATAGCTCAATTGGTAGACCGTCCGTCTAGAATTCGATGGTCCAAGGTAAACCCCAGTCTGGCTGTGCATTTTTCCCCTCCTGTTACAATGGTGCCCATGACCAACTCTTGTTTCAAGCATTTGGTGTATGCTTGACAAGGGGATACCCAAACCTGGGTTGTAAATAGTTGTGTCTTTGGGGGTGAAGACTTAGAAAAAGGAGGGTGGAATGTAATGGAACTGGACTGGGTCGATCGTTGGCGACCAGATAGCTCAATTGGTAGAGCGTCCATCTATAGAGTTCGGAGGGTCCTAGGTTCAAACCTCGGTCTGGCCGTACATTTTTCTGCTCTTGTTACATGTGTATGTAATACTAATCATCTATGTGTGATCACAACTTTAGGGGTAAGCCTATCAATGTATCTCACCTGTAATACTAATAATAATTCCTAGCATTTCAGTTACTTGCCAAATAATGACTTAAGGCATTCTGGTTCTTCAGATAAAGTTTTTCAAGCATTTCTATAAATTTGACACCGGTGACCTAGAATATGGGTCAAAGTCAGAAACTTTCTAACATGCCAAGCCACAAGTTACTGACCAAATATCATGACTCTAGATCTCTAGAGGTTCTCATATATAGCTTTATCACAACCTAGGTTGTCTCAAAGCGGTTCACAGATTATTATCTGTGGTTATTGGGCCTTTGCAACCAGCAAGTATCTTTTTCAACTCGCTTGGGAGCATACAGTCGGTGCAGCCATTATGGCGCTCACAGCTAGCATTCAATAATTCCAGCACTGCCCAGCCACATAGTACTCATTTACAGCTGAGGAGACTGTAACAAGCAGAGTAAAGTATCTTTTTCAAAGATACAACGAAGTGCCATGACGGGATTAAAACCCGGAACACAATGGTCATAAGTCCATCGTCCTACCGCTAGACTACTGTGCCTCCATATATATCATAACATCAAAACACTGTGTGGGTCACAAATCCATCTCTCTGACAAAATTTACAACTACGGATTGTACCTTTCTCCAAGGTAGAGTCTATAATAACAGATTGTACCTCTCTCACAGGTAAAGTATATAATAACAGATTGTACCTCTCTCACTGGTAAAGTCTATAATAACAGATTGTACCTCTCTCACAGGTAAAGTATATAATTACAGATTGTACCTCTCTCACTGGTAAAGTATATGATAACAGATAGTACCTCTCTCACTGGTAAGGTATATAATCACAGATTGTACCTCTCTCACAGGTAAAGTATATAATTACAGATTGTATCTCTCTCACTGGTAAAGTATATAATAACAGATTGTACCTCTCTCACAGGTAAAGTATATAATTACAGATTGTATCTCTCTCACAGGTAAAGCATATGATAACAGATTGTACCTCTCTCACAGGTAAAGTATATAACAGATTGTACCTCTCTCACAGGAAAAGTATATAATAACAGATTGTACCTTTCTCACAGGTAAAGTATATAAGAACTGATTTTATCTCTCACAAGTAAATTATATAATTACAGATTGTACCTCTCTCACAGGTAAAGTATATGATAACAGATTGTACCTCTCTCACAGGTAAAGTATATAATAACAGATTGTACCTCTCTCACAGGTAAGGTTTAATATGTTATTGCACACAGGGGCATGGATCGCTTTACTTGTAATATTTAAAAATAGGGGTCTCCTATACTAATAATTTATTAGTATAGGAGACCCCTATTTTTAATATTACAAGTAAAGCGATCCATGCCCCTGTGTTATTGCACCTCTCTCACAGGTAAAGTATATGATAACAGAGTGTACCTCTCTCACATGTTAAGTATATAATAACAGATTTTACCTCTCTCACAGGTAATGTCTATAATAACAGATTTTACCTCTCTCACAGGTAAAGTATATAATAACAGATTTTACCTCTCTCACAGGTAAAGTATATAATAACAGATTGTACCTCTCTCACAGGTAAAGTATATGATAACAGATAGTACCTCTCTCACAGGTAAAGTATATAATAACAGATTTTACCTCTCTCACAGGTTAAGTATATAATAACAGATTTTACCTCTCTCACAGGTAAAGGCAAACTGGATGGCATTGCCTCCTACACCACAGAAGGCATCCACAACGACATCACAACGACACCTGTCTGCGATGTGCTCAGCAATCTTCTCTGGGGTCACTGAAAACCAGCCCTCTACAAAACACAATTAGTTTAAAATTGAAATACATTCATGCATTTATTCTCTTTTTTGAAGTGAACTGAAGCAAGATAAGAGCAAGAATACTGACAAGTCAGCCAGGGCCCAGTCAGCACCCGACTGAAAGTCCCCACACCACCCCAGGTCTATTATTAGTAACAATGACCTTGACCTATACCTTAGAAACTTTTTAAACCCCTATTGCATATCTTCATGCCACAGTGTATCACCACGTCAAACTTCGGAAACCTAATTCTTTTGGATTCTGACAACATTACACAGATTGCAAGCTGTCACTGTTTACTACTGTAACAAATACATCACATCAATATTTAGAATACTATGTATTGCGATTTCACAAACAACAACATGAAGTCATTCATTGGCATCATGCTGGCAATTTTGCCTGGACTTTCTGGTCATGTACATAAATGTATTATAGGAAATTTGTCTGTTGATCATTCTATAACACATCTGATAACAAGAGGCTGATTGGTCTGCATTGCTTATCTGTTTCTTTGGCTCTTTGATATTAACAAGAAATGAAAAGATTTCGCTTAATGGTTTACAGTGCTCATCTCTGATTACCTATTTACTCAAACAATTTGTACAAAGACTGGTTCAAGTTTTTCAAAAAGAATTGGAGAACAAAGCAGCCATTTTGAACATCAGATCATCAAGAAAACTAGCAGCAACTGTTGAGAACCATGCACATGACTCAAGATCCAATGTGGTTACCATTGGCCGGGTAGGTGGTGAAAAGAGCCATCTTTAATTGGGAGAAAAGTGTTATCAAACTAGGCCGATCATTCATATTAAATTGATTTTCTTTTGAAATCTGCAGTTTATCAGCAAATAATAACTTTAGATACTGAAAGGATACTTCACATCCAAATCTATAAAGGACCAAAATTTCAAAATTCTTAGCCTCACAATAATTAATGTTTATGGAACTTGTCCAAGCTTTCACTGTAATTACCTTGATACAGTTACCAATACAGTCTGAGTTAATCTGTTGATAATTACTCTCAATACTGAGTGGACACTGTGTTTCCATCAAGGGCCACAACTCAAACAATTTATAATAATAATAGTGGTTATCAAATCTGTGAGAGCTTTCATGGAGTTTGAAATTAATCAGTCAATAATTACTCAAGATATTAAGTGAGTCCTCAACAGGTGTACACAATCCACTTTGTCAGATCCATGAGAGTAACATTTTTGTAATTTTGTCAAAATTAGCCTGATTAAAATGAAGTAGAAAACGTTCAACAAAGAAGCAGAATAACCAATCAAAGGCCAGGACAGACATCTTGGATTATGCCTTTTAGACCTGAAGTAGAAATCAAATTAGTTTGTCCTATTTACCATAATAAGCTCCATCCCTTTGCTCCAAAGAAGAGCCTTACCCTTCACTTTTACAACAATGAATTCCCTTCATTCAGTGGTAGTCCATTCAATTTTCGGTCCAAAGTATTTCACATGACTAATAGTTTAAATATTTACCCCTATTTCCCCTTTTGTAGCAGCTGGAGTTGGGGATGGGGCGGAGTGAGGGGCACATCCTTTTCTTTGTGCAACGTTCACTCACCTTGGCCCAGGAATGATTCATCTAAACTTTTATCCCTTCAGTCATTCTAGTTCGTAAAAGCAAAGTTTATGGACAATGTAGGAAGGCAGATGCCCCAGCCTCAAGGCATAAGCGAAGTTTGCTTTCGAGCCTGGTGCGGTAATAAACCAGAAAACTTGTTTACAGACTTTGGTGTTCATGATAAAATATCTGGCTCTACATTGAAAATACTGCCTTGAGATTAAAAGAAACTTGAAAATTATGACAGGATCTTTTTTTTCTGAATTCATGATTTGACTTAAAATATACCTCTATCTAACTTGATGCCTTCGTCAAAGCGTGTAAACAGTCGGTAGCGCTGTGCCCAATACTTCCTCAGTTCCAGGTCAGAGGCTATCTCCTCAGGTATGGGAGGTTGTTTCTTCTTCTTTTTCTGTCTTTTCCTCCCCTTTGTGACACTAACCACAGATTTTGTCTGGTCTGGAAAATTGGTACTGTCAGCAGATGTCTCCAACTTGGGAGAATCCTTGTTATTTTGTTCACTGTCATCATCTGAGGAAACCGATACATCTGACCAATCAATATCTTCTATTCCATTTGCTGCTGCAAAATCTGCAGCAAAATGAAACTCTTTATCTTCATTGGTTGTTGGAGTATCCTTTTCCTCTGCTTCAGTCAACAAACCACTTTGACTAGTTTTATCTAAAAATGTCTTTACCTTGTTCAGTTTTTTACTTTTGGATAGTTTTAGCTCACGTCCTTCACTGTCAAATCTCATATGGACAGGCTTTTTACCCAAGTTCAGGTCTGACTTCCTGTATTTATCCTTATAAGACACACGTCCTTCTCTGATCCGTGGCTTTTTTGCTACCCTGAAATATATTTGTAAGAAATGAAATGCTATACTATCACAACTGAAAACACATTATACAAAAATACTTATACTATTTGCAAACATTGTCACTTTGACAAAATGTATGAAATGCAGTGAAGAGCCCATAAACGTACTAATTAAAGCTGTTTATGATCACAGTCCTCAGAGCTCTCAAACATTGACCTAACAATTAGATCCCATGCAATTAGTTTGGTACATTCATATTACGGTTTGTCTTCAACCCACCAATCAAAATTAAGGAACTGCTGACATTTAATATTTAGATTTAATACATTTAATACTATTTCTCCAAACCAATTTATTGACGAAATTATTTTCTTGACTGGACAACAATGTCCAATACAACTTGACAAAAACCAACACTAAGATATTAACTGGAAACTATTTCAGAAAATCTTGAGATGAAAATCCAAATTATAGATGATGACCAGGGTAACTTATCTAAGAGACAAAGAGCATGTGTTTCTGTTAACTTGGTAATTATCATCAAAGACCTTGTGGTTTCCATGAACATAAATGCTTAAGCAGTAGTTTCTGATCTGTTCAATCAACCGGAGTTCTCATATATACATACGTTTCTGACATTTCAGTCTCCTCCATCAGTGAAAAACCCATATGTCTGAGTTGGTCCTGCACTGAACTATCTTCATCAGTGTGTACATCCTCATCCATCTCATGGCTACATAAAAAGGTCAAATTGCTAAATAACAATAGGGTCATACTGCTAATAAAACAAATGTAATATACTGCTAAGCAAAGGCAATATGGCTACATACCAAAGGTCAATTTGCTAAAAACAAGGTCATACAGCTACAAACAAGGTCATACGGCTACAAACAAAAGTCATTTGAGTGAACAAAGGTTATATGGCTAACCAACAAAGGTCAAGTGGCCCCTTTTTTTTTTTACAAATCAAAGGTCAAAGGTCATATAGCTTCAAAGCAACAGTCACATAGAAAGATAATGTCAAAATGGCTTAACAGGAAACAGAAAGTTAGGGAAAAGGGATAGCAATCAAACTTGTCACACATGACTACAATACAGATGTTTATCTCTTACATTAGTATCTCTTTAACTTTTCTTTTCGTCATTGTGAATAAATATGGATACTTAACATTTTCTTCAAAGGTTACTGACCTGCTGGATATGTACACCGGCCGATTATCTGGAGGTTCATCCCCGCCCCCACAGCCACATGCCTGACCTTTTGATGCTTGACCACTTGCTCTGTTGGGGGTGCTTGACTCTGAAAATACATATTTTTTTCCTGATTCAGGACTTGTTTTGTATCTTAACACAATGATTTATAAAAAGTGTTAAAAGCATTGAACAAAAATAATTTGTTCCTAAAATGAGATGGATGTTTTCCAAACATGAAGAAAATACAACTGACATTAACCTAACCTGTGAATTTTAAACAGACTACATACTTACTTGTGGTGTTCTGACTAGCAGAGCTTGACTTGTTCTTTTTCCTCCTGCCAGCCCCTCCACCATCCACCAACTCCTCCTCATCCCTGTTCTCCCTATCTATAATAAAACAATCTCCATTGTCCTCAGATTCATTCTTATCATAGGTAGATTGTAAAGGCATGCACTGCATACTGTCCTGCTCACTACCAACATGCACTACTTCACTATTTGCATCAGTAGTGATGTTATCACCATGACAACTGTTGCCAAGGATTTTAATTGTATCATGGATACCTTCACTACAACTATTGTCACCCTGACGATTGTTCACAAGATTATCACTATGGATATTAGCGCCCTGAGTACTGTTGCTAAGGTTATTGTCACATTGGGTTACATCAGTGTCAACATTCACCCCTGTGGTGTGAACTTGGATGCTGTTGTTGAGACTGAGGCGATCAAACTCTGTTGAGAACTGGTTGAAGTAGTACCAGTAAGTTTCTGTGTAGTGGTCATTCCACATTTCCTGCCATTCCACTTCGTAATCTTCCTCATTGTCCATGTTGTCATCTTCACACTGACCACTTGCCACAAACTGACCACTCGGACCAGAGGCATAAGAATGCATCATGTGTACAATCTCTGTCCTTTCATTGGACATATTATCTTCCTCAGCATCAGAAACTTCATCTTGCTGGTGTGACAGAGAGTTGGGTTGAAGCTGACCTTCAACACGACCTTTCAGAGTAGATTCTATGGCTTGATTGAAAGACGTTTTAAACTGGTTTAAAGGTAACTTCTCATACTTGCAGCTGTCATTACTAACATTAGAGGTACTAACAGGTGTCGTCTCCTCATTATTTATTTGATCGACGTTTTGTGTTCCTATGCATTGTGTCTTATTACTGTCAAACAGATAATCATTTTCAGCACATTCAACTGTATTGACCTCTAAATCTTGTTTTGTGTTATCCTCTGACTTTCGGACTTGATTTGGACTTGGGCTGACCTCCTTGCCAACTATGGTTAGAGTCTTTGTTTCCTCTATAGTGCTGTTGATCTTTAAATCCTTCATTTTGTATTTAACCTCTGAATTGTCTGTTGATTTTTTGACCTCTGAACTTTCCTCTGTCTTGCTAACCTCTGATTTGTTCATCTCTGAACTCTCATCTAAATTGCTGACCCCTGAACCCTCTGCTAAGTTGCTGACTCCTGAAACCTCTGCTAAGTTGCTGACCCCTGAACCCTCTGCTAAGTTGCTGACCCCTGATCCCTCTGCTATGTTGCTGACCCCTGAACCCTCCTCTGTGTTGATTTCAACCTCTGTGGTGTGAGGTACTCCTTGGCAGACTCCGAAATCTATCTGTTCTGGGTATTTGCTGACCCAGCCCTGCCAGACTAAGTATTCACCATACTGTCCCCAGTAGCCCTGCCAGGCACCGTCCAGGTCCAGCTGACGGAATTCCAGTAGACTTTCTGGGGCTAGCTGAGGGAGGTCTACCATTACCTCACCAGCTTCTTCTTCCTTCATTTGATTTTTTCTCTTCTTTTTCTTCTTCTTCTTGTGTCCATGGGATTTCTTTTTCTTTGTCTAAAATCAAAGAATCATATATTTTAGATCCATCATGATTTTAACTCTTCAACCCGATTATACGACCCACATTGCGAGTACTCTATGGTTACAAAGGACACAATTTTCAAAAAGGTTCCCACAAAAATACCATTTAACATCCAGATACTGTATAGCGCTTTAAATTTGCGGGGTCGATATTTCGCGGTTTCGTATTCAGTACATATATTTGTGAGGTTCAAATTTCGCTGTGCACCTAAATCCCATGTGTTGTGCAAAGAATTTTGAGTATCATCATTTAAGGGATAAACCTCAAAATACCTTTTTCGAAGTAAATTGTAATCAATTAATCACCTACTGTGTACACATAAATATGTTGTGGCCACTTATATGTAAGTGTTGTTTTTACATGGACTACCCAGTTGTCCAGTGATAATCTGATTTGAGTTTATTTAAGCTTACATAACAGCGTTGGGTTATAAGTATTTTCAACATGTTGTGATAAGGTCCGTAAAAGTGGTTAACATTTTCGATAATTTCCCTGGTGTTTAGAATTCGCGGGTATTAATACTAGCCAAAGTGTGAAAATTAAATATTATGAATCACCTTTCCAGTGACTGGTGTAGTTCCATTGCCAAATGATACTGGGAGGCCCATCATTTTCATTAGCTGGTCCTCTTGTTTCTCTTCTTCCTCTCCACCACTAACTACTTCTTTCTCTCCACCATCTTCCTCTTCCCCTGCTCCACTCTATGTGGCCAGCAAAACAGAAAATTAACAGTATGTTCAATCTAGAATTTAGAACAACAAAAGGATCTTCTGTTGAATTATATAGCTACAAATAAAGAAGACTACATTATTTTTCCCATATTTTATGTCAAAAACAACAATACATTAAAACAGTAATGGCCAAAGCTAACCAGCATGACACAAGCATTTTCTAGTTAATTTTTAGTGAAACACCAATAAAATACCAAGTTTTATTTTGTCCCAAGAAATCAGTCTATAATACCTGTCTATCTGTGCTTTCCTCATCTGTTTCAGTACTGGAAGTGTCACTCTCTCGAGGCCAAGATACCATGCCCTGCTTAACAAGTTCACCATCACTGGAAATGTAGAAAACATCAAATCCTCATTGATATAATTCTTTATTTGATTTTGCGAGGATTACAAACAGACATTAATTCTCCTCACATGCATATGGAACACATAAATACATAAAATAATAATTATATATGGACATCAATTTCCACAAACATCCACCGTTCACAGGAACACACACATACATGTACGTATGACACAAAAATCACACTATCATACGTCACACATATCTCACTTAATAAGAGAAAAGACAGACAGAGAAAGATAGGTTCTAAAATTGTCCAGATTCCGATTGAAATCCTCATTTATGTATACATGTATTACAAAATACATGCACATGATTTGTTGGACACCTAAGTTTGTTCAATAAACAATAAAATTCTTATAGTTTCAATCTATTAAAATGTTTGGTTGAATCCCAAAGTGCACAAGTCTAACACTGTAAAACATGGTAGTTCTCCTACAAATCTTTTTTAAATCCAGGAAAGTTTCAGAGTTTTTGTGATCTATCTTGGCCTCTGATTAAAAACAAAAAGGCCAAGAGGGCCTGTATCGCTCACCTGTTTCGTCTGTTACATGAAACTGACATATAGGTAACTTCGTACCAAATTTGGTAACTAGAACACAAGACATTTTAACATCTCTTAAATGGTTCTCAAGATATTGTTGTTTAAATTTTGAAATTAGAATTTTAAACTTTTAAACCCACGTTGACCTTTGGCTCCGCTAGCACTTAAAGTTGACCTTTGACCTCATTACTGTAATAAAGAAAACCATTCACACAACTGGTCTACCTAACATACCCAAGTATCATGACTCTAGTCGAAATGGCTTTTAAGATATTGTTGTTTGAATTGTTTTAAACATATTTGACCCCTGTGAACTTGAACGTAGGTCAAGGTCATTTTGATGAGGAAATGTATAGCACTCCTTCCCAGGTACTTATTGGCCAAATATCATGACCCTGAACCTGATGGAACTTGAAAAGATTGTTGAAGTACTTTTAACCCATGTTGACATTTGACCCCCGACTAGCACTTACAGTTGACCTTTTACCTCATTACAATAATTAGGAAAAATATTTGCACTGTAAGGGTGATTTTCTATTTTCAATCATAAATCTCACCGTATGAAAGCCCTGGTACAGTGACATCTGACATCACAGCTGTCCAAAGTCAGTTGAACCTCGGCCAGGTGTCTCCACCTGTGGCACATCTGTAATAAATCACAAACTTGGCTAAATACAAAAATAATTCCATTTTACAAACATAATCATAGAAATCATACAGTGCCTAGGTCAACAGTTTGCTTCAGGTTTTTTATACTTTGTCCAGTGAAGGGTTTTTTTCACACCATGTATAGTAAAAGTTGTTCTTTAGTCTTTGTACAGTGAAACTTGTAATTTCATACTTTATATAGTAAAAGTGTATTTTATACTTTGTACACTACAGTAAAATCAAAGGTGTTACAGACATCATGCACTTACAATTCCATTAACCAAAATTAATTTTCACTGTTTTTATTTACATTTGTTATTAAGAGTAAGTTTTAAGACGCATCTTGGCGCCCAACATCCTACCATCTTCATTACTTCTTCGCCAGTTCAATCTTTTCTTTTCTCTAATCTGTTTCAAGTCATGTAAACAGTAAATGCACCTTGAGGTAAGTTTGTTCTAAACTTTATACTGCTGTGTTTAAAAGACAACCTTGAAATAAGTTAATTGTTTCACATATTTACTAGTACAGTACTTAATGTGAAAATAAATAAATGTAGAACAATCATTGCAATATGACAAAGATCTGTTAATTACTTCCTGGGAAATAGTGATAATATTCATAAAAAGACAAAATCCAAGATGACACCCTGCAGACATCTTGTTTTTATGATCACTCTCAAATTAAACATGCACAATTAAGAACTAAGATGAATATTAATATGAAAATTGAGAAAAATCTGTCCAGTTCTATTTGAGAAATAGCAATAGCAAACCTATACTGTCAAAATCCAAGATGGCAGTCTGTCGGCCATTTTGTTGTCCGATTAGTCTCAAATGTACTCATGCACAACTACATACCAATGGTTACCTACATATCAAATTTAAGAAAGTTCCCTCCAGTACTTCCTGAGAAATAGCGATAACAATCCTTTACTATTAAAATCAAAGATGGCCATCTGTCGGACATTTTATAAACATTGTATCAGATCAGTCTCAGAAATAAACAATTATGTAAATTTAGAAAGATCCCTCGAGTACTTTCTCAAAAATAGAGATATCAATCCTTAACTGTCAAAACCCAAGATGGCTGCCTGTTCGCCATTTTGTTTATCTGATCAGTCTCAAAAAGAAACAGGCAAAACTAGTGACCTAGCCTGGGTACCTACAGTATTATGACAGCACAATCTATGTTGTGTTTCAATTGGCCTTCCACATTTATTTCTGTAAAGACCAAATTACAGGGTTGCTTATTCCCAGTAGAAGCACACTACTCTCTTTCCTGTTACAAGTGGTGTATGTGGTCCCCTCCCTGTAATGATGGGTAGTAAAAAACTGTGTTGTTTGGGTTGTTGTTGTGTTTGAGAACCAAAAAATTTAAAGAAAGGGTATAGCAGTCTTCTCTTTTTATGGGTTACGGGCACCATTAGTCTTGGTGATTATGCCAATATGCATATTTTTGGTGCAGTGTTCTCCCCATGCTGTTTTTGCAGCATGGCACCATGCTCCTGTAATTTCTTGCCATGCCGATATCCTAGATCTTCTCTGCCATAAATTCATAATAAATCTAAAGTTACCATGCTGCTTTGATTTTACATAGCGTGCTGCTGTAACAGAAATATTGAAATACCATGCTTCTTTCAAAACATTCTGGGGAGAAAACTGTTTTGTGGACTGCATTGCATGAAAGAAATGTACAATGATCATTTTTTTATTACTTTTATAGTAGTAGTTAAGATGAAAGGGGGTAAAAACTGTAGATGTGTTTATAATGCAGAAGTGAGGACTCCAAGGACTGTGTAGGGGACAGCGGCCTTAAAGTCTGTTAACATTGTGCATTTTAGAATGTACTGCTGCACCTGTCAGACGTTGCATTGCGTGATGAGGTCTGGAAAAATGAGTATTTATTTGTGTCTTTGGAAGCAGAAATGTGTCTCTAGGTGTAGGGGCAGAAATGTGTCTCTAGGTGTAGGAGCAGAAATGTGTCTCTAGGTGTAGGAGCAGAAATGTGTCTCTAGGTGTAGGGGTGAGCATGTCATATTCTTGGGTCTGTTAGTATGAGGATGGTCTTTTACAACACGGTAGTGTATAATTTTGTAGAATGTTACAAGTTTGGTTTGTAGTCTGTTTGTTTTAGTGAGGTTCAGCCTAGAGAATCCATCATGTCGGACTTAGGTTGTACTTGTCTATGGTATTTGATATGTACGTATCTTGCTGTTCTGCATTTGCTTTTCTCAACATGTATCTGGTGTGTGGATACCATATTTATATGTTGTGAGTGTATTTTGTGGTTGTGTTTTAGGAATCCTTGTGATTTGTTTGAGTTGGCGGTGATGTTGTTGATGCGAGTGTCCACATTAAAATTGCTCTGTAGTGTTAATCTGAAGTATTTACAGGAGACTTCTTTTTGTGGTCAAGTTTGTAATTGCTTTTTATTTTGGTGTGGTTGTTTGATGATGTTACACTTGTCAGGATGAAAGTGCATGATCCAGTCTTCCTCTCATTTTCCTGCTGCATGTCCTGGTGTTATTTGATTGTGTCTTCTGTTTTTTGTTGTTTAGTATGTTCAGACTTAGATCTAATATAATCCATGGTAAGTTATAGTTTTATCTGCGAAGATTCTAAGGCTGTTGTGTTTGATGTATTATGATAGCTATATATATAGGTCACTGATTTATATGAGGGATATGATGAGGCCTAAACAAGAACCTTGAGGTACAGTGGCTGCTGTCCAGGATCACTAGTTAGCCAGATACAGCTACTGTATCTGTCCAAATGTCTAAGTCTGGTGTCTAGAGGAAACTCGGCCTTGATCACTAGTGTGACTGGTTTTAATTGTACCACCAACTTATTTCGTGATTGTACATAGGATTAAGGTCCCCTTCTAGCTTCGCACCAGAGGAAATTTTATTTTAGTTCAATCGGAAAAGCTGACTTGGAGACTGGGATCACTCCTTCGATCCCCGATGGCAGCGCTATTCATGTTCAATATACAAACCAGGGCCGTTTTCGTTAAAACGGTCAAATCGGTCAGACCTCAGTTGTCCGTTTATTAAATAAGGTCGGACCTAATAATCTGATGCTGTTTTCAGGTGAGCTTTGACAAAGCTTTGAAAGGCGCCGGCCGGCCTGCATAAACATTTTCATAAAAAAGGTCCGCCAGGATTTATACTCGAAATTGTTACATTTATAAACGGTCAAACAGGTTGTTCCACATAAACGAACACTGCGGAACAGCCCCAAACTAATCCTATGATATACAATTCTAAATTGATAACTGTCAAAGGAAAGAAAAAAGACATGCTCTTTAGGCTTTTCCTTTTCACATTATCAATAGTATTGATCGTTACCTCAAAAGTATCAATGATTTCTGGGGACATAAGACTTTGTTCCACATGTAAACACACATGTGCGAGCCGACGAATGAAAACGATTTTAGCATTGTTTACCTTCGTAACAAAAGAGTTCCAAATCTGGGAGAAATCCGTTATTGGATTGAGAGGCACCGGTGGGTTATTGGAGACTATTTAAAACAGGGAAATTATGCAAATTAAAATTTCATCAAATAATATGTATATTTTTCATGGAAGATAAACTTAATTCGACACTTGCATCTAGTCCCATTTTTTATGGAATTTGATGATCTAATAACATATAAGTATGATATTTGTTTATATGACTTGTGTACTTGGCCGTGCCTATAACTACTGCTGATATTGAGGAGTCAGAAAAAAATACATAACCTTTAACAGAGGCATATATATAGTATTGGCTTTACATATCTCTGCCTATAGCAAGTAATAATGTATCATAATTTAATTAGCATTTTAAATCACAGGCCTAGCTGTAATGTATGTTAATCTACAACAAGTAACATGAATCAAGATTTAGGGCTACATTGTATATCTATAACAAGAAAATTATATCATCATGATAAAGCACTATAACTAACAAGTAACATAATGATGAATCACTATAACTAACAAGTGACATCTGTCTACATAAGCCCCTGTCTGTTGCAAAGATGTTCAACCCTGATAACAAAAAAATAATAAGTAACATGCAACATGATTTAGCAATTAAACTATCTATAAAACAAGATGCAAGTACCAGGTTATCTTTTTTCAATCGATAACTATATCTGTAACAATTAAGCACATGATTTAAATAGCACTATAATTATCCATAACAAGAAATGTATATTAAGATTTACACTTACGTATCTAAAAACTGTCACCTGATCAGCAGTATATAATAATTATTTTCCTTCAACAATCAAATGTACTGAATCTATGTAAAGAAAACGACGATATTTAAACTTTTTTAGCAATAGTTTATTCTTAAAAACTCAACACAAGAAAACATTCATCAGCTAGCTTCATTGCGCATTATAACGGATATCCGTCTTTCCTTGGGGACAGGGCGGCCATTAAAAACAGACTTCTCATTGGACAGTACTTCATGTGTGTAGTTATATCTTGCAGTATCTCTGGAAAAAAACCAATAATTTCATGTACTGTTGTGTAGAATTTGCATTGTAAAACAGAAAGAAACAAACCCAATATTGTAATTCAGTCCTCAAATACAGCCTACTCAATAATACACACTACCAAGTTACCTCCCTTTACTTTATCTTGCTTTGGATAACATTTTGAACATATTCTCTGTTGTTAGATACGTCTACAAAGAATCAATTTAGCTGGCAATTTTAAAGTGTATTAGCATCAAAACCTACACCATGCTATACCAGACATATTATGAAATATTATTGATAAAAGGATGGTAGACTACAAATACTTAAAGTTAAGTGATTTAAAATATCTTCAGAATTAGTTTGGAACCATTAAATATGACTGCATTTAAAAAAAAGTGAAACTGATATAAAATGTTGTTCTATTTGTTCAACTTATTTGATTACTGAAAAAGGTAAACAGCATGATTGTTGTTGGTATTTACTGACTGTACAAATTGAGGCAAGGTAAACATTAAGAACCGACGTTGTATGTCATGTATTAGACAAAGGAAGCATGTGCCACTGATTAGCTTTTTGATATAGGATTTTTAGGCATTTCAAAACATAATGAGACTGCTTCATAATATTGTATGGTTTTTACTTCCTATGAAATATATCAGTTTTTAATGTATTACAACAAAGAAATGCTTGTAAATAATACTTAATACATTTAATACCAAAACAATCAGTAATTCAGAACCATCCTTCAATAAATAACACAATAAAACCAATAGGTAGGATTATGGTAAAGGAAAATAGTTAAAATTAGTACTTTCTTATTTACACATGATGCCAGTGCTTGGATATTTCAATTTAGTTGTTGTTAATTAACTAAAGGGAAGTAACTTATTAAGTACATGTAGTCTTTAAGTAACAGTTTATATAAATATACATATCATACCAGTCCTTGGACACTTCAGTTTAGTTAGAAGGCTGTTAATTAACACAGAGGCTCCATTATTTATGTGTAGCAGAACTAGACTGTGTCGTCCACCAGTGACAAGGTAGCTTATTTGGTAGAGTTTGGAGGGTCCCAGGTTTGAATCCTGGTCTGGCCATGCATTTTTCCTTTCCTGTTACATATGTAATTATTTCTAGGGATGTAATAGCCCCCTCTCTCCTGTTACATATGTAATTATTTCTAGGGATGTAATAGCTCCCTCTCTCCTGTTACATATGTAATTATTTCTAGGGATGTAATAGCCCCCTCTCTCCTGTTACATATGTAATTATTTCTAGGGCTGTAATAGCTCCCTCTCTTCTGTTACATATGTAATTATTTCAAGGGCTGTAATAGCTCCCTCTCTCCTGTTTCATATGTAATTATTTCTAGGGCTGTAATAGCTCCCTTTCTCCTGTTACATATGTAAGTTTTTCTAGGGCTGTAATAGCTCCCTTTCTCCTGTTACATATGTAAGTTTTTCTAGGGCTGTAATAGCTCCCTCCCTCCTGTTACATATGTAAGTATGTCTAGGGCTGTAATAGCTCCCTTTCTCCTGTTACATATGTAAGTTTTTCTAGGGCTGTAATAGCTCCCTTTCTCCTGTTACATATGTAAGTTTTTCTAGGGCTGTAATAGCTCCCTCTCTTCTGTTACATATGTAATTATTTCAAGGGCTGTAATAGCTCCCTCTCTCCTGTTTCATATGTAATTATTTCTAGGGCTGTAATAGCTCCCTCCCTCCTGTTACATATGTAAGTATTTCTAGGGCTGTAATAGCTCCCTAAGTCCTAAAAGGACCAAATAATTCATTTAGTTGTAATACTGGCATTGCTATTTCTCCATCAGAACATTTGCAGTACTACAATACTACACCGTGTATGTGTATTGGTGTTATTGTCTTACTTCATAATGTAGAGGGATCGTCTTTCAAGTAGAACATCGGCCCAACGCTGTTTGTCTTTATCATGTACAAGTCGCATCACACAGGGTGAAAGCAGACACAGTCCTGCTATTGTACTGCCACAGAACTGTAAAATAACCATGATAAAAACTTGATATTTCCTTTTTTCCTATAAGTTATTTTAACAGTAGGAAGGTAGACAACTCCTAAATAAATATTCATAACAAGAGGCCCAGAAGGACTTGTATTGCTCACCTGTTTTTTTTTTTACAGGGACATGGCAGGTTTTTAAGTTTAAACCCATCCAACTGCCATCCTATCTTAATAATTCCAATGCAAAAATAAACCCAATATACCCAAAAGTACAACTTATAAAACACACAGTAGTAAAGCTTTAGGCTCTCCACAGGGAGAAGAGGATGACCTTGGGGTCATGAAATTCACAAAAACATTTTTGTTCTTGTTTATTCAACATTCTCAAGAATTTTCAACATAAAGTACATCAAAAAAACATCACGTTCACATCCACATGATTTAAATATTAGAGATAAATGATTAGAGCTTTCCTAATAGAAACAGAAATAAGGAATCTGTGAAGTAAATTTAAAACATACACATAATTACACAGACCAGAAATTAACTAAGATAATAGAAGGAATTATACCCTAACAGCATCTATGTGAGGTTTTATGTGCCCGTCTTTGTTCAGATCCAGGATGTGGACATGTGCCAAGGGCTGTACACCAGAGGGAAAGGCCAAGTCCCCTACTCTCTTCAAAACAGCATCATTGCTCTTAGTCCATTTTCTCCTCTCTGTTTCTCTATACCCATGGATAGCCTGTAAAGTTTCAAAGATAATGTGTAAACTGATTGTTATACATGTTCAGAATTACAATTCTTAAATTCCTTTACTTTACCATGTTTTTGAAGTTGTATGTTGTTTTACTGCTATTAGTCTAAATGTATTCAATCAATAAGGAAGAATATATTCAATTAACTTATATCAATCTTTGCATGATTTTTAATAAGGAACAATCATATAATCACCACTATCCTTATTTGTTAAATGGAGAAATTTTCCACCACTGACCTTTTCTTTTAATTTGTTTGGTCATTGTGTAGTTTGCTTATACAACATGTAGTATGAAATATATTGGGTTTTTTGCCTCATTAGTATAAAACATTTAATAAAGATTGTAATTTAAGAAAAGGTATAATTATTAATTCCCGTAGGAACTCTATGTAAATCAGAGATTTATAACGATAGAGTTTCTATCATTATAAATCTCTGATTTAGATAGAGTTCCTACAGGAATTACTAATTATACCTTTTCTTACGTTACAATCTTTATTAAATGTTCAGGAATTAGAATAATTATATAATAAATTTATTCTGCCATGATTGTAGGTTTTCCTTATTCTGATCTCTACAGTGGTGTTTGTTTATATGCATTGATAAATGGAATCTACAGTTTTGAGTCTTATTCCTTGTCATCTTTTCATACATGCAACACAACACTTACAGTAGAACAACAGGGATTTGATTTTTGCCAACTTACACATATTTTACATCTTAGACACTTCAATCACTGGTCCTTTGTCTGATATAGGTATGAATCATTGAAACATCATGCATAACACTTTCTGGTTTTGCCTTTAGAACTTCTGCATACATACATGTACATTTGTTTGTATTCTATGCAATCCATATACTTACTGATCTGAAGAAAATGTTTAATAATACCTATAGTACAGCTCTAGCCATCCACAGCGCCATGTTACAATCACACATATGCTATACTGATATGGGTCACAACACACATAAACATAAATTATGTTTAATTGTTTGTGTGTTGTGACCCATATCAGTACAACACATGTGTGATTGTAACGTTGCCCTGTGAGCCATCCGTGTGTTATGTTTGTGAATTAATTTGTTCATTCTCCGTAATACTTACGCCATCCCAATGATCATATTCATATCGAAGTCGTTTCATGTATGGCTCAATTTCGTTAAATAACTGTTCTTCTTCTTCTGGCGATATGAAGTTTTGGTACACAAGCATGACTGGCCCAAGTTCGTTTGCAGTTTGTGAATCGCTTGTAGTCATGAACGAATTTATGTCACCAAGAATATCTTTGTTCAAAATACTCTCACTAGCGGTACAGTAATTATTGCTGTTATTTACCAACAGTGAATTAGACATGGCATGTGAACTAGTCAAGGCCAAACAAGAACATGAGTGTTGACGGGATCCAAGAATGTCCCTCGATGACAGGCATTTTATTGGAAGCCCATTTTCTGATGATAGAGACATGCACATTGTTTTTAGTCGCGTTATCTTTAACTTTCGTAAAGACATCATAAATGCAGATGATCGACACCACATACTTATATTAGCTCCCTAAGTCTTCTTTCGTTTTGACCATTGAAATCTTGCTGAGCTAAGTGTTTGAATTGCTTACCCTGAAAACAAACTTTCAATTGATTCCGACTGCAGCATTTAAAAACCGGAAACGGAAACGCTGAATGCCTGCGCATTGTTTCCAACAGCAACCACATTCAACAACTTCAACAGGTATCGATGATACCTTGATTATCTTGAAAAAACCGGCAACTAAGGCAAGTATATGTGCATGTTAGTAACTAAACACAATTATAATAATTTCATTCCTTTGTTTGACTTCACTTGAATGCATAAATTATCGATAATTGCGATAAAAGAAGAACGCAAACAGTGAAATTTCATATGAAAATGGCAAGTTCCTTGATCTGTTTGGTGACAACGTAACGTCAAATTGTGTTTACGTTGATAAATTATAGATTATCATACATACTCTATATATTCACGGGTCTTTACAGCAATGTCAGCAATTTTAAAATCTCTTAATTATTGGGATACATATCATATCCTGCTCATTTGATAATTACACCAATGAACATAATTGAAAAATGACACTGACAGCTGCATATGTTTTGGAAAATACAATTTCGGATACCATAAGATCATTATGGCATCCATAATTCACTATTCCGATGGAGCTTATTTCATAGTTAAGATTGGTTCATTTCAGTTTATTTGCCAAATAAAACCACTGGCCTGGCATGTTACATTTTCCTATACTGTTACAAATTGGTGCCTATGAGCAACTCTCGTTTGTTACAATGCAAGTCCATCACATGATTTTGTGCACATCTTATTTTTACCTTTAATTTCAAAAGGCTCCAGTGCAGACTACTCAAAGTATGTAATGTAGTATCTGCTTCCCCAACCAAACACATTTAATATAAAGAGACAGAAGTGCTCTGCCAGAATAAAGATAATACATGGAAGTCCATTTTGGTTTGTTAAAGACTGTTGACAGTACATGAACTTCTAAATATTGACATTTATTCACTTTTTTGCTTTAGAAATTGATTGCAGATCTGACGAGAGACTTTTCATTTTGTTTGCAAAGATGAATCATTGTAGGGATAACACACAGAGTCTGTTGACCCAAACTGTTACAGCGCAAAATAATGTAACATATTTACTACAAAAACACAGACCCATTATTTTTCATTTCACTAGTACAAATTGGCTATCCAGTGGGTATGAGGTTTGTTTACGAGCAGAGACCCAGTCTATAGATGTGCAAAAACCATGCTGTCTTTGATGTCCAAATCTGTGTAATGGTTGTAGTTGTACAGTAAGTCATTGTTGTGGCTGAGGGGAAAGGGGGTGTATTATATACTGGGTTGAATTCTATATTGATCAGATAGCTCAGTTGATTTTTAGAATCCATCTACTGCTGGAAGGTTCCAGATTCAAATTTCTTGCACCTGCTCAAATCAGGAAATACACTTTCTTTTTGCCGAACACTATTGTTTATTAGAATTGAATTAAAAATGTTTTTTTTTTATTCATACTTTCAGGTTGTGAGGGACAAAAACTAAGATGTCGATAGCAATTGCACAAGCCAAGCACATCTTTGGTCTTAAACCAGGTGTGACTGGCAACATTTGCTACCATGATGAACAGACCATTGTTTATCCCTCTGGGGCAAATTGTATTTTATACAACATTGACCAAAAGTCACAGAAGTTCATTCCTGGCACGGATAAAAGTGAGGGTATGACAGCTTTGGCTGTGAGTCCAAACAGAAGATATGTGGCAATTGCTGAAAAAGGAGAAAAGCCAACAATTACAATATACGATCTTCACAGTCTCCGGAAAAGGAAAGTCCTTAGCTCTCCAGATGTTCAGTCAAATGAATTTGTCAGCTTGGCATTCTCACCTGACTCTAAATACTTGGTTGCTCAAGGCGGAAAACCTGACTATACATTGCTGTATTGGACGTGGGAGAAATCTAAAGTAATGGCTGGCACAAAAACATCCAATCCCCAGACCAGTCCTCCAGTGTATCAGGTATATATCACATTTCCCTGTAATCCTGTATAACCATGTTACGTGCAGTTTTACTAAAATAATAATACTGTTGAAAAATTCTATTTGGATTCAAATGTGATGTAGTTTTCAATAGAATATCAAAACTTATTCAATATTGTGTTTCCATAATTTTTTGCACAGATTATAAGTATGCAGTGCTTTTTCCAAACCATATAAAGCATTCATTTGTATAAGTTCACTATAATTCTTTTGTCTGATGGATACAATATATGATTTGTAATCTTTGCAGGTAAGCTTCAATCCTCAAGACAACACTCAACTGTGTGTTGTCGGAAATGGCATCTTCAAGCATTTCCGCTACAGTGAAGGAAACCTCAAAACTTTCAACTTCCAAAAGATGGAACCACAAAACTATCTCTGCCATGCCTGGGTTTCTGAAGAGCGAGTTATTGTTGGTACTGACACTGGACGACTGCTACTGTTTGAAGCTGGAGAATTAAAGAATGAATTTAACATTGGCGCTCAACAAAGAGAAGCTGGGTAAATATATCTTTAGACAATATCCTTTATTCATTGATATGTTTCAGAGAAAATTTCTGAAAATGCTGTGTCTTTTAGAGAGAACATAACAAATATTATACCTCAAAGAAAACAGGAACTGTAAAATTTCAAAAATACTATAATTAAACAATTTCTTAATGTCTTCAGAAGGAAATTTAGGAACTTCATGACAATTTACTAAATAAAAAAATCTTTCTGATATGACACATTTTTTTATCAATGTTTAGACGGCCAAATGAAGGAGAGGAGGTTTCCAGCATCCCAGTCATTCCACAGGTTTCAGCCATTGTGGCTTACTCAAAGGGATTTGCTTGCTCCTGTGGACCTGGCACCGTACATTTATTTGAGAAAACAGATGACAAAGACTTTTTCAAGAAAACAAGAGAAATCAAGGTGCACTCTCCTTTTGTCAAACTTTTAATATTTGTGTCAATATATACGAGCAAGAAGTGGATGCTGGTTGGTTGCTACAAGTCAAAATATGACACACCTTACACAGATACTTTTATGTTTTAATGTTCATGGTTAGATGTTATTCATATTATTTCCAACTTGGATCCCATTTAAAAACAGAGGCCAGCCAATTTCTCTTAAATTGTACATCTATTTATATGAATGTTTTCTTTCAATACATACCGTGGTAAACAAAATGCTGAGTACTAGTCAAAAGGTCAGTGAGAATCTGATAAAATTTTGAAGAATTAACAAAACCATATACTGACAAGCAATTTTCTTTAGATCCCACCAGACAACAACAGTGCTGACCCGACCAAAGCCCAACAACAGCTGATTACTTGTCTGACCGTCAGTCCGTCTGAGGAGACCCTTGTGGCCAGTACTGACCTCAGCCAACTCTACTACCTAACACTGCCCAGTGCTGACCTTGGAAAGGTAAGGTACCAGACAAAACTGAGATAAAACTGTTAGTAAATGATAATCAAACTAAACTTGGTTTATTATAGACAGATAATTACCTGTGTTCTAAAATTAAATGACAAATTTAACTTTAAAATCATGTTTTTTTTAACTATCAACATATGTATAAAATAAATCTACATGTATGTCATCAATTTCAGGATTTTCTAACTCCTAGAATGATATTTACTGTACTATCACATTGTCAGTCATTATATATTTCTATCATGAGGTTTAAAATGATGAAAAAATAAATTCCACATTTACATGTGCTGTTAATATCTTTATCAATTGATCATGTTAAGAACAACAACAACAAAAATGGGAACAAATATGCCTGAATTGATTATGAGTGTTTTGTGTATTTCAGAGTGAAGGAGATCAGGCTCATTTTGAGGTTCTGGCCCAATCCTTTCACTACGGTCAGATCACAGGGCTGGATGTTTGTATCAGGAAGCCACTGATTGCTACAAGCTCACACGACAGATCTGTTCGCATCTGGAACTACGAAAACTGGTACGATAGTAGGACTAAAATATAAAGTCATATTTTTTAATAGAGTTTTATCCTCAAAGGTGGAGGATAATTCATCTGGAGAGTATAGACTTTGGACTGAGCTGAGGCTTGCAGAGGTCATGACTAAAACTCTTCAGTAGCGGATAGAATTTCCATTTCATCCAGTCCTGTATGTAAATGAGATTCTTTACAGTAGATAGCTTCCTGCTGATTAAAACAGCAATCAAACAATGTATCACATTGAAATGGCACCGCCTTTCAGAATATCAGCCAACTATATACTTAACATTTTTAAGTTGAGTGCAGTTTGTTATTGTGCTCTTTCTAGTAAAGATTTCAGAAAATTATTTAATTGTTTCCATTAAAAATGCCGATTTGGCCTAATAGCACATCAAACAAAAGACAAATATTGATACGCTGTAGTTATATGTAATACAGTAACCTGGAGCTGCATAAGGAGTTTGCAGAGGAAGCGTACAGTATCGCCCTGCATCCCTCTGGCCTGTACATCTTAGTGGGCTTCAGTGACAAACTCCGTCTGATGAACCTCCTCATCGACGACATCAGGACCTTCAAAGAATTCACCATCCGTGGGTGCAGAGAGGTAAGGTTTTCTTTCCTTATGTTCTAGTTTTCATGTCGTGAGTTGCAGAATTTTCTTTAGAGATGTAAATTAATTAATCTCTGTAAAGACATAGTGCCTATCTTTGTCTTTTTAGAAAATTTGTATAAGGGAATATATGCTTACATTACTATTATATATATGTTACAGTGTGGCTTTAGCAATGGTGGAAACTTGTTTGCCGCAGTGCACAGCAATGTCATCCAAATCTACTCCACCTCGACATTTGAAAATACCTCAAACCTAAAGGGTCACAATGGTAAAGTTCGGTCAATTGTGTGGAGTTCTGACGACAGCAAGATGGTGTCCTGTGGTGGAGACGGAGCTGTCTATGAGTGGGAGACCTACTCAGGGAAGAGAGTCGGGGAGAGTGTGCTCAAGTCCTGTGGCTATACTGGAGTGGCTGTCACACCAGACGGAAAAGCCACTTTTGCAGTTGGTTCTGACAAGACTCTGAAAGAGATTGCAGATTCACAGGTTAGCACATACTAAAGCATCTAAAGCCTGAATTGTGATTAAATGTTATTATGTACCGTAGAATTCCCTTATATCAAAGTAATTTTGACCTAGATATGTGTTATGAACATTTCTTCCTACTGGGATATGTATCGAGATGAATTGTAATCCATGATATGAACAAAATAACTGATTTCAAAGTTGAATTTAATGTGTCTTATGAAATTATTAGGTGTTTTTAATGTCACTGTTTAAAAAGAAACAATCTTTTACTTAGAGATAAGATACATGATATTGTTGTAATTAATGTTAATTATTGATGATTGTAGATCCTGCGCCAGATTGAAGCTGGTGACATGACCTTGAGTAGTGTAGCTTTGTCCCATTCCGGCCGTATGTTGTTTGCTGGTACTGTGAAAGGAACACTGTGGTCACTCAAATTTCCCCTCAACCCACCAGGAGAGTGGACAGAACATTCGGGTCATGGAAGTCAGATCACCAAGGTAACGATAATGTGACAGTACTGAGATGCTTCCTAAACATAAGAAAGCAAAGTTAAAATGTAAAAATGTTAACAATGTTTCAAAGTTTTGACTGTTAATGCTGTAGGGAAGAATGCTAATAAATTTTAACTGCTATACCAATCTCTCTTTGATTTTGAAGTCAATTGCTTCAGGAAAATTGATATAGTTATTATTTCCCAGCTGGGAGTGTTATGGTTATTCTTATATACAAATTAACCACCTTTAAGCAAGGTTGACGTAAGTTAGATATTGGACATTGTGTTTTCTGACAGATGAAGATCAGCTACGACGACCAGTACCTGGTTACAGTGTCTGAGGATGCCTCTGTCATCCTGTGGAAGATCCAAGATAAGGAGGGGCGTGGCCTGAAACGGGACAAGGAAGTGGGATGGGCTGAGGAAATCCTCATCACTAAGAGTGACCTAGAGGAAAAGGTAACCACTGCCAATCACAACAAGATCCAAGTTGATATTTAAGTTGATATAGTTTATATAACAAAAGTATCCAGAATGATTTTGTGTATGTATAGTAGAATGGTCAAGTCTAACAGAGTGAACCTGATAGTTTGGTTATCGATCCTCACTCAAACACCTGAGTTCCAATTATTGTATCTTATTGTAGCTTACCCTATTTCATCTTATTTATTCCCACAATTTTTGTTTTTGTGTAGAACACAATGATGAGTGACCTGAAGACAAGGAATGATGAACTGAAGCTTGAGAATGATTACCAGCTACGTCTGAAGGACATGAATTACAACGAAAAGATCAAGGAACTCACGGAGAAGTTTATCCAGGAAATGGAAGCATTGAAAACTAAGAATCAGGTAAACTGTTGATTCTTGTCCAGAAATATTTTGACAATTTTAGTTTTGTTATTGAAACCTTTTTGTTTCCCTGTAATAATCAATTATTTAAAGAAAATATCCCATTGAATATCAATGCTTTTAATATTTTCACTGTTTTCAGAAGATATTTCATTGATTATATACATCCCAGGATGTTTAGTCATAAACAAGATGCCATTTTCCTAGGAATGATATCTGTAATCTTTAATATTTTTTTATTGAACATTTTTGGTTGAACAATGTTTTGGTTTTGGTTTAATAATGGATTTCTCAATTTTTAGTTTGATAATATTTTTTTTACAGGTTCTGAAGACAGACAAAGATAAGGAGGAGGCAAAGCATGAGGAAGAGATGAGAGAGGTCATGGATAAACACACTAAAGAGCTTCAGGATCTCGGTAAGACAAGTCTACAGGAATCATAGTTGGCACTGTTGTCACATATTAACACAATGTTTTACGATCAATTGTCTATAAATTCATGAATTAAAATTCGAGCATTGTGTCTATAATTTTGTGTTGTTAGCTTAGCTCCTTGAAATTTAATCTAATCATACTTTTAGACATTGTATTTACTTAGGATTTTCTCTAACTTAAAGATTTGCCATACTCAAAATAGTCCTTCCTATGTTTTTGACCTCTTTTGGTTTATTTGTTATTTTCTGTTGTTACTTTAGAAATTGTTTTTGTTTTTATTCTATAGTACATTTTTGTTTTGATTTTATCGTTTGATTATGATTTGATATTATTCGTAACAATATTGAAAATTTTTCAATCTGCAGAGTCGGCCAACAACCAGAAGCTGATGTTGGAGTATGAGAAATTCCAGGAGCAGCAGAGTAAAACTATGAAAATGCAGGAGGAATACGATCGTCTACTCCAGGAAAAAGAGGAAAGCAAGATGAGGGCTATGGAGGAACTGACAGAGTATTACGAGACAAAACTCCAGGAGAAAACAACTCAACTGGAACAGGTACTGTGTTACAGACAGCTAGTGTGTGTACTATCTCCGCAATTATGTTATTGTAGCATCTGTTTTGTGTCTTTCATGAATTAAAGCAAAAAAAATCCTCTAAAAAATAAATCCCCCCAAAAAACCATTCAGGAGACCGGAGTGATGAACATATTTTGAAACTTTTTAAAGTGTAATAAAAAAAAAACATGATGTACAAGTTATAATCTTACATCAAATGATGTTGTCCTGATGTTTTAGGCTCATGATGAGGCCAGGCAGTCACTGAAGGAATACGAAGAAACTAAAAAACAGATTGAGGAGGACGCTGATAGGGAAATCCTTGACATCAAGAACAACTACGAGATCAGACTGCGTGCTGAAAAGGAGGACAACATCAAACTGAGGGGAGAAAGTGGAATCATGAAGAAAAAGGTATACCTTAAATTAGTAGGGTTTTTGGACAAAATTCGGAGCCAAAATTCTTAACCAAAAAAATTTACAGTGAATGTTATTTTCTAGACAAGACCAATTGTCATTGGGATTATTTTACAATGGTTTTGATTGTATATATCCTGTTCAATAATGCCTCTTGTATGGAGCATTTTTTATAAGCATGTATGAATGAAGTTCTTGGGTATAACAATGTTTTTAATTTGACGTTGATTTGTCGGTAGTTTACAAGTCTCCAGCGAGAGATTGACGATCACAAAGAGGAAATTAAGAAGTTCCAGGCAGAGACTCAGAAACAGACCAATGTGATTCGTAATATGGAAAAAGACATCATGGGTCTGAAGAAGGAGATACAAGAGAGAGATGACACCATTCAAGACAAGGTAAGGACAATGGCTGATGTAGCAGATCAGGGCATGGCAGAGTGGGGTGGGGAGGGAGAGTTTATCAACAGATATACTATTCAATAGTCATTTTCTGAATATGAAGAGTCCTAATTGGTAATAGACAGACGTTTCTGAAAGGGGCCACTTTTCTTATAATTTACTGGGACTGCCCACCTTTAATGATATACATGATAACTGTGTCCTAAATGGTTTACAGGAAAAGAGAATCTATGACTTGAAGAAGAAGAACCAGGAATTGGAGAAGTTCAAGTTTGTGCTGGACTACAAGATCAAGGAACTGAAGAAACAGATTGAGCCAAGGGAAAACGACATCAAGAGAATGAAGGATCAGATCCAGGAGGTAAAAATTGTGGATTTAACCAGAGTTCAAATACAGTTACAAGGAAATGATATAAACAATTCTGTAAGAAAACAAAATACTGTTATGGAGCTTCTTTTCAAAAAAGGGAAAAAGGGAAAGTATCTTTTTCATTTTTGCCAAAACAATTGTGGCAAAGAAGTGTTTGTAAAATTTATAAGAAGAACCAAAGATGTGTAATTGTTACCAATGTGCTTATTTGTCTGGTTGTCATGGCTACAGATGGAGAGTGAACTGGAGAGGTTCCACAAACAGAATACACAGCTTGAGCTTAGCATAAAGGAGCTCACCCAGAAACTCCGGGCCACCGACAAAGAGATGCACCAGGAGAGACAGAAGGTAGGTCAAGGTCATCAAATATCATCAAATATCTAAAATCACCCAGAAAAAAATCACTTCACTACATTTAAACAAAGTGTACTTATTGATAAATATTACTGTATAATAAACATTAGTCAAGAAAATCATTAATAAAAGTGGTATTCTTAAATGGTAATGATGTACACAGATTTATACTGAAATCATTGCACAGAATGAGTGAGCTTGTTTGTACATGTAGGTACGCGATGTAGAGGCAGTGGTGAAGAGGTTCAAGACTGATCTACACAACTGTGTGGGCTACATACAGGACCCCAAGATGTTGAAGGAAAGCATTAAGGCTCTGTACTCAAAACACGTTCAGGAGGATGTGGTAAGTACATGTATACATAGCCATACTCACATATTTGCTAACATCCTTTCAAGTGCACACTGTCTGAACCAAACTCCTCTGGAACACATAAGAGGGTTTCGAGTCTACTTGTTATAGGTTTTTATAGTCTGATCCAAATTATTAGGCCAATTTAGACAAAAATTCATGTTTAATAGAGTATTGTTAAAACAAAAACGGATATTATATTGGGACAAGAGACTGCGTGTCATAGACTAATTACTACAATTTAAAGTACCATGTGAGGGAAATAGATTAACGTTTTCTGAACCTATTATTTCCTCAGACGGAATCTGCAAGTGTGGACGCTGACATACAGAAGGAATACAGTAGGCAGCGAGAACACCTGGAAAGATCTGTAGCCTCACTCCGCAAGAAGCTTTCCAAGGATTCTGAAATACATAGAGCCGATAATGTCAGGATCATGCAGGTAGGTTTTATTTTCACCTAATGCTTCCATCTGCTTTAACAGAAAACATTGCACTTAAAAATGGCTTCATAATATCAAATGATTAAAGTAATATATTTCAAATGATGTTGAATCGTTAAAAAGGAAATACATTTTATCTAAATTAAAAATCGGAAAATTTCTTCCATTTTACTTGGAAAAATTTTGGATGTACTCCATTATTTACATTTTTCAGGAAAATGTGTCCTTGATCAAGGAAATCAATGATTTACGTCGGGAGCTCAAGATAGCTAGAACACAAATCCACGACCTTGAGGCAGCAATGGGACTCCACAGCAAGAAGAACAAAAATGACACGGCAGCCATTGCTGCTATCACTGCTAAAGGACCAAGTGCTCTTATGGAAAAAGATATGGAGGAAAAGAATAAAATGATTGAGATGCAGATGGTAGAAATTCGACGTTTACGTTCCGAGATATCCGACTTAGATTTTGGCTCTCGACCTCCGTCATCACACCGTCTACCACCCGTACAGTTAGTGTCATGATCACCCGAACACTTTACTCAAGTGGAATTGTCATGAGAAATTTTGTGATCATGCTTAGGGTTGCTGAGTACAGTGTATAAGAAAATGGAGAATGAAAATCTGCAACTCTTGCGTAGAACATTCATCACATATTCTCAAACTATGTGCTTTGTGTATGTCAAAATATCTGAACCCTTGGTATGGTGAATATCTGTATACTAACTTTTCATAAACTTGTGTGTTAATCATGCAAAGCTGTTTTTTGATAAAATGTTGTTAAGAATCCTGTTGGATACCTGCAACTTACTTTTGTAAAATACATTTTTGGAAAACTTTATTCAAGCTCATTCCAGAGAAATTTTGAAAAATAAAATTTCTCTTCAACCACTAATATTGTTTGCGAAGCACAATGTTAGCAAATAATTTTGATAATTGAACATGGTACTTACGTTACTTCTGCTGACTAGCTGCTTCTTGACTTTATATATTGATTCATAGCCACAGTAACGTGCCAGATATGATTTTACATATAAAGACATCTTTACAAAAATTATTCTTCTCAAAATGTAATATCTGATTGTACTGTGTTGACGCTCTGAGAGATATCTGGATATATTTGTATATTTTATCTTTTATGAGGTATTTTTTATGTAATGACAGGTTTCATTCAGGCTGTGATAGATAAAGTAAATAATTATGAGTGTTTATCATAAATTTCCTGAAAGCTTTTGTGATATTTTTTACATTCGTTTTACATATAAATTCTGAAATCATTGTTCACATTAATATTTTCAATTTGGAGAATTTTGAAAATGTTAAAAGTTGCATTTTGGAATTCTAGAATTATTTATGAAATGAATTTAAAGTAGCTATGAGTTGTATTAGCGCCTTAAAACCTTAAACCTGGGACCCAAGGTTTGGGTGTGAGCTGACAAAAGATTTTCAGGAAAATATCCGTCCAAAAGTGTGCAGTATTCCTGTAAATTGTGTAAATACAAATTTAATATGATTAAGTAGTTATGGTAGACCACACTATTTATGTGGAATTACTGTAAAATCATGTGAATTCTGTGATAATCTTATGTATAAAAAGTAATAAAAATATGGAAATAGTTAAAAGTATTTTTGATATTTTCAAGTTGTACTTGCTACATTGTATAGTCTACATAATCAGAAAATACTTATAAACCTGCATGTGTCTATTAAGTCATTGTAGTATAGATTTTCATGAAAAGTGTTTTTCTCCTGCCTGCAAAACTCCAATAAACAAGGTTGAGTATAATGGTGTTGGTTGGGTACTGCAGTGGTTTGCTGTAATATTTACATGAGGTGGCACTAAGAAGAAAGATACTGTTGGAAACAGGGTTCCATCGCAAAACACTTATACACCTCCACTACACACACAGTGGCTTACTCTAACTAGATAGGGAGTGGTATCAAATGTCATATAATAATAAACAGACTATATATTATAAGTTGATTTTATATAAATCAAATTCTTTTTAAAAACACTTTCTAATCCAGACCTTGTATTATCTCAAAATACTGTATAAATCAAATGTTGTGTAATCTGGAAGACCTTTATAAACCAGACCCTGTTTATGCTGGAACATATCTTTGAATCAGACCATGTATAATATGGAAAAATTTATAATTTTGAAAGTCTGTATCAACCTAGCCATGGGAAACCTGTGTAAGACAAAGCTTGTGTAATTTAGAATATCAAAAATAATCAGAATCTGTATAATCTGAAAATCCAGAAGCAGGCTTTGTTAATCTGACCAGTATAAACCAGACCCTGTTTTATATTGAAGTGTCAACAGAACATAGAGTGTCAACAGAGCATTGACAGAGTCAACAGAACATAGAGTGTCAACAGAGCATTGACAGAGTCAACAGAACATAGAATGTCAACAGAGCATTGACAGAGTCAACAGAACGTACACTGTCAACAGAACATAGAGTGTCAACAGAGCATTGACAGTCAACAGAACATAGAGTGTCAACAGAATATAGAATGTCAACAGACCATTGACAGGGTTAACAAAACGTACAGTGTCAACAGAACATAGAATGTCAACAGAGCATTGACAGGGTCAACAGAACGTACACGGTCAACAGAACATAGAGAGTCAACATAGCATTGACATGGTCAACAGAACGTACACAGTCAACAGAACATAGAATGTCAACAGAGCATTGACAGGGTCAACAGAACGTACACGGTCAACAGAACATAGAGAGTCAACAGAGTATTGACAGGGTCAACAGAACGTACACTGTCAACAGAATATAGAATGTCAACAGAGCATTGACAGGGTCAACAGAACGTACAGTATCAACAGAACAAAGAATGTCAACATAGCATTGACAGGGTCAACAGAACGTACACTGTCATCAGAACATAGAGTGTCAACAGAGCATTGACAGGGTCAACAGAACATAGAGTGTCAACAGAGCATTGACAGGGTCAACAGAACGTACACATTCAACAGAACATAGTGTCAACAGAGCATTGAAAGGGTCAACAGAATGTACATAGTCAACAGAACATAGAGTGTCAACAGAGCATTGACAGGGTCAACAGAACATAGAATGTCAACAGAGCATTGACAGGGTCAACAGAACATAGAGTGTCAACAGAGCATTCACAGAGTCAACATAATGTACACAGTCAACAGAACATAGAATGTCAACAGAGCATTGACGGGGTCAAAAGACCGTACAGTGTCAACAGACCGTACAGTGTCAACAGAGCATTGACAGGGTCAACAGAACGTACACTGTCAACAGAACATAGAATGTCAACAGAGCATTGACATGGTCAACAGAACATAAACGGTCAATAGAACATAGAGTGTCAACAGATCATTGACAGGGTCAACAGAACGTACAGTATCAATAGAACATAGAATGTCAACATAGCATTGACATGATCAACAGAACATAAATGGTCAATAGAACATAGAGTGTCAACAGATCATTGACAGGGTCAACAGAACGTACCCTATCAATAGAACATAGAATGTCAACATAGCATTGACATGATCAACAGAACATAAATGGTCAATAGAACATAGAGTGTCAACAGATCATTGACAGGGTCAACAGAACGTACAGTGTCAACAGAACATAGAGTGTCAACAGAGCATTGACAGGGTTAACAAAACATAAAGTGTCACCAGAACGTACATTGTCAACAGAACATAGACTTTCAACAGGGCATTGACATGGTCAACAGAACGTACAGTGTCAACAGAACATAAGTGTCAACAAAGCATTGATAGGGTCAACAGAATGTACACAGTCAACAGCACATAGAGTGTCAACAGATCATTGACAGGGTCAACAGAACGTACACGGTCAACAGATCATAGAATGTCAACAGAGCATTGACAGGGGCAACAGAGCATTGACAGGGGCAACAGAATGAAGAGTGTCAACATAACGTACAGTGTCAACAGAACACAAATTGTCAACAGAGCATTGACAGGGTCAACAGAATATAAAGTGTCAACAGAGCATTGACAGGGTTAACAAAACATACCGGGTCAACAGAATGAAGAGTGTAAACAGAGCGTTGACAGGGGCAACAGAATGAAGAGTGTCAACATTACGTTCATGGTCAACAGAATGTACAGGGTTAACAGAAAGAAGAGTGTCAACATAACGTTCATGGTCAACAAATCAAAGAGTGTAAATAGAACACTTTAAGTCGGATTCTATAGTTGGATAGAAAGACTGTCCAACCATTATCTGCATTTAATCTTCTTTTATTTCAACTATGACTCCATGGCTTCATTCATGTAACGTATTGTCCTGGTCCCTTTTTCAACAATGAGAGCATGGGTCCAATGGTATCATGTTCACGAAAGATTTTAGTTAGAAAATTATTTAGAAAAAACAAATCACTTGTGAAGCAGAAAGTGATTTACAATACTCATGGTATTGTGTATTATAAACACATTAAGTGAACAAATTACTGTGTTGCTTTGTTTACCTGGTAGGTACATATTTCTAAATCAAATAATATCTATTCACAAATAGTTCATTTCAGACCTGGTTAATGTATTTCTATATACAATATCAGAGATTTTAAAAATGATGTGTTTATAACAACCTTTTAACTGTGGAAATATTATACCGGTGTAGTGAACCATGACAGAACGACAAATCAGGTTCTCTGTCACAGCCATGGGAATGTTAGCTGGGGATGTTAGATACTGCAGTAAAGAAATATTGATATAACCAGGCAATGCTTCAACTGTCAACACTGGAGGCCCAGGGCAATACTGGTCTGTAGCAATTACAAAACACTTAGTTCCAGGACATGTTTATCAAAGTCTAGTCAGCTTAATATGTCAACAGCAAAATAATGTGTCTCAATGATAATTTTTTCTTCTTCAAAATATGAATAACCGTGTTGACGTATTTCATAAAGAAATTTTAAAATGTGGGGAAATATCAGACAGACTGTTTGGAAAGCAAAGTTCTTGCTCATTTGTAGTATTTTGCAGTTTTTATGGATATTTTTTTTCCAGTTCACACGTTAAGCTGAGTCATCTGTATCTTGTCACGACTACGATCACGGTACAGATAAAACGGAGCAGAATCCTGGTACCGACAACTTCTACTTGTCGCTGTATGTGACGTATATCACGTTTTTACGCTAAATTGATTTTGATAGAGGTATTTTTTCGATTTTTTTTTATTTATTTTTTATCTTTAGGATAAATGTTAAGTTCGAATGGAACAATTGAAGCAAAACGAAAGTTTTAAAACTTAAATATGAAAGGTAGACTCCAAATCAGTCGTTTTAATGGAATAAGTGGGTGTGTTATTTCAATTTTCACTAACGTTTGATTTTGCCAGGACTGGCGTTTCCCCGTTATTAGACACAATGACAAAAAGACGGATGTCAAACTACACGTTAAAGTCGGGGATCGTTCAGTTCGAGGACATGGACAGTAGCGGGGTCAGTTCCTGGAGTAGGAGAAGTCGGGACATTGGAAGTGATGGGAATAGCACGATGGAAACCTACCTGGACCTTAACCAGAGTGATGTGTTGGGACAGAATTACCAAACACATCCCGGAATAAACAACTGGATTCTGTCAAAACCTCCAAAAGAACCACCTGTGGATTACGATCTAAAGGTAAGACAGTCATTCCCTCCCACCACCAAAAAGAACCATTTTTATGAAAGTTTTTTCATTGATGATAATTTGAATGTTTCACATTGATAATACAATAAACTGTTTGTATATATTTAAAATTTCAGTACAATTAACCATATAAAAAGTTTAGGTTACGAATGCAATAAAACCATATAAAGTTTTAGGTTACAAATACGATAAACCATATAAAAGTTTTAGGTTACAAATACGATAAATCATATAAAAGTTTTGAGTTACAAATACGATAAACCATATAAAAGTTTAAGGTTACAAATACGATAAACCATATACAAGTTTTAGGTTACAAATACGATAAACCATATAAAAGTTTTGGGTTACAAATACGATAAACCATTTAAAAGTTTTAGGTTACAAATACGATAAACCATATAAATGTTTTAGGTTACAAATACGATAAACCATATAAAAGTTTTAGGTTACAAAAATGATAAACCACTTGATTGTTTAACGTTGCTAATGCAACAACCTGTTTGTACATCTTACATTTTCAATTCAAAAATATGTATTTTTTACATTGAAAATGCAAAAAGTACATCAAACCCTCTATATATCAACCATATCAACGTTTCATAATACAATCAACCATATCAACGTTTCATAATACAATCAACCATTTGAATATTTTACATTTCAATTCAATAAACGCATATCAAAGTTTTATATCGTTATCACGATATATCACATAGTTACATAGTTAATACGATAATCCCGAGCAAATATAAAGCCGGAGAATTATCGCGGATAACATCTTGTTTAGCGTTCACCTGTGACATCATTTTTTCTGTAACTTTCAAAGTGTGTCAACAATCCTTGTGTTACTTTCACATAATGTCAAATTCTTGTGTAATTTTCACCTGTGTCAACATTTCTTGTGAAATTTTGACCTTTTTCTCATGAATTCCTTTGTAACTTTCTAATGTGTCGTCAATTCTTGAGTACATTACAAAGTGCCGCATCAATTCTTGTGTACCTTTAAACTGTGTCATCAATTCCTGTGTACCTTTCTTAATTAACCAAGTCCAAATAACAATTATAAAAGATATTTAACAAGTTTGCTGGTTCACAGAAGATACTAGTAGTAAGCATTTTTATTGAAGTATTAATCTTCAAAATCTCGAAGCTTTGGGTCTGACCTGTTTAGCTATCCCTACCCCCTGGAACCATTCTCTTTACACCTACCCATGCTCCAAGACTGTTTTGCATAACCGATCCCTAGGCCAAGACTGTTTTACAACCCGTACCCCGGGCCATCCCTATCCTGGTGCCCCGGTCGTTAAATTCACTACCTTACCCCTTTGTCCAGACTGTTTTACACCCCGTACCCCGGGCCATCCCTATCCTGGTGCCCCGGTCATTAAATTCGCTACCTTACCCCTTTGTCCAGACTGTTTTACACCCCGTACCCGGATCATCCCTATCCTGGTGCCCCGGTCGTCAAATTCACTACCTTACCCCTTTGTCCAGACTGTTTTACAACCCGTACCCCGGGCCATCCCTATCCTGGTGCCCCGGTCGTTAAATTCACTACCTTATCCCTGGGTCAAGACTGTTTTACCCCCTACCTCGGGCCCGGATCGTTTAACAGTACCTATCCTGGTGCCCCGGTCGTTTTTCACTACCTTACCAGGGGGTTTAGCCTGGTTTGATTTCCCTGCCCCTGGGACCAGACTGTTTTTTACTACCTACCCCTTACAGTTACTCTGTAAACTAACTAACCCGGTATCGTGTAACCTTACATTGCGGTGTAAACATATGTTAGACAGTTTAAAAGGCTGAAGAGACGTTCCGATATATATACTAAATGGATTTCGGGTACTCACCCTTTTCGTACGAGTGATTCAGTGATGGCGGCAATCATTTTAAAGAAAAATCTAATGAAAACATGACTCACATTAGATATTAGTATATATATAAAGTTCCCTTTACGTAAGCAATGCTGATGTTGTTAGACGCCAAGCACCCAATCTATAATCATTAAATGTTAGTGATTCAACCATAACACCCAAATACTGATATAAATGCTCCTATTCCTATAATTGAATGTTCTAAATAAATGTATAAATAAGCAAATATTTCTACTGTTATCACTATGGTAATATCAAACTTGACTGTGATGTATGTTTTTGCTTTGTATACCTTTCACGATCATGGGAAAATACGGTATGCCGGCGACTGGTTTCTAAAATCACTTGAATTTTGGGAGAGATTTATTAACGCTGGAATTTGGGGTGAGATACGACATCGATTTTGAAATATATATAGAGGTCGCGGTTCCTTAACTTCTTATTTACCATATAGAGGTCGTGGGTCATATAACTTCGTATTTACCATATAGAGGTCGCGGTTCCTTACTTCGTATTTAACATATAGAGGTCGGTGTTTCTTACATTGTATTTAATATATAGAGGTCGAGGTTACATACATTGTATTTAATATAAAGAGGTCGAAGTTACATACATTGTATTTAATAGAAAGAGGTCGAGGTTACATACATTGTATTTAATGTATAGAGGCCGTGGTTCCTAACTTCATTTCTTACTTTTACTGGTCGTGGTTCCTTACTTCGTATTTAACATATAGAGGTCGAGGTTACATACATTGTATTTAATGTATAGAGGCCGTGGTTCCTAATCTCTTTTTAACTTATACTGGTCGTGGTTCCCTACTTAGTGTTTAACATATAGAGGTCGAGGTTTCTTACATTGTATTTAATATATCGAAGTCGAGGTTACATAGATCGTATTTAACATATGGAGGTCGAAGTTACATACATTGTATTTAATGTATAGAGGCCGTTGTTCCTTACTTCGTATTTAACATATAGAGGTCGGGGTTTCTTACTTCGTATTTAACATATAGATGTCGTTGTTCCTTATTTCGTATTTAACATATAGATGTCGTGGTTCCTTATTTCGTATTTAACATATAGATGTCGTGGTTCCTTATTTCGTATTTAACATATAGATGTCGTGGTTCCTTATTTCGTATTTAACATATAGATGTCGTGGTTCCTTATTTCGTATTTAACATATAGATGTCGTGGTTCCTTATTTCGTATTTAACATATAGATGTCGTGGTTCCTTATTTCGTATTTAACATATAGATGTCGTGGTTCCTTATTTCGTATTTAACATATAGATGTCGTGGTTCCTTATTTCGTATTTAACATATAGATGTCGTGGTTCCTTATTTCGTATTTAACATATAGATGTCGTGGTTCCTTATTTCGTATTTAACATATAGATGTCGTGGTTCCTTATTTCGTATTTAACATATAGAGGTCTTGGTTCCCTACGTCGTATTTACCATATTAGAGGTCGGGGTTCCTTACTTCGTATTTAACATATAGAGGTCGTGGTTTCTTACCTCGTATTTTACATATATAGGTCGTGGTTCCTTACTTCGTATTTAACACTTATAGGTCGTGGTTCCTAACTTCATTTCTATCTTGTACTGGTCTTGGTTCCTAACCTCGTATTTACCATATTGATGTCGTGGTTCCTAACTTCATTTCTAACTTCTAATATTCGTCGTTCTTTACTTCGTATTTAAAGTACAGATAGTATGCTTCTTTACTTCATATTTGGACATATTAATGTCTTTATCATTTCGTTTTTTTAGTGACTAAGTTACGTTATATTGATTCTTTCTTATTGGACCATGAATATCCGAGGTTTCGTTCTGACATTGAGCTGACCTTAGATATATGCTATTTTTTCATCTTTGTTATTTAAACACCATTTAAAGCTAGTTAACTTCTCTTTCTTCAGTGTTAACACATACAAGCCTCAACTGGTGATCGATGTAATATCTCACAGGTGATTCTCGGTTTTTTTATTTCTGATTTTGTATTTGTTTTACAGATACTGGCGTGCTTGTGTATTGACGATGTGGTACATTTGTTTCTGTTTAATTCAGCCACAATCCTTTACAGCTTATGACAATAACTTCTTTTGACATTAGCTTCGTTGTCAGTATATATCACTGACTGTCTCTAGTAACACATGGGACCTGTTCGTGTATGCGGAAAACCCGGTTCGTCTGTTTTTAAATGTATTTTTTTAGTAAAAATCCTGGCGGACCTGCAAAAGTTTATGCAGGCCTTGCAAGCGTCTGTCAAGGCTTGCCTGAAAACAGCAACTGATTGCCTGGTCCGACCTAATTTTATGAACGAACAACTCTGGTCCAACTAGTTCAGTCGCGATAAATGAAAGCGGCCCAGAGCCCATATTCATGAAATCATTCTCATGCTCAAGCATGGATTCGAGCTCAAACCATCTTTCTTGCAATTTGTTTAAATCATGTACATTTTAATACACATTTGATTTTATGATACACGAAAAGATTATGTTAAATCAATGTTTTTGTTGTTTGTATGATATACACAATTAAAAAAATAGTATCTTAAATATTATGCATTTTTTCAAAAAGAAAGAAAAAGTATCTCCGACTAGTTTCGCGCAAATACAAACATGCTTAATTTCCATAAACGTTAGTTAATTATTTTAAGTACATTGATTGTCTCCAAAGTTCTTCCAAAACATTGATAAAATGTTATGGTTTATTATTCATTATTGGAACAAGAAATGTGGCTTGATCCCAGACTAAGTTTGAGTATGAGAACGGGTCTCATGAATACGGGCACTGATGTTTACATACACGCTTGACAAAACACAACTTCAGCTTTATGGTCGTTAAGAAACGCAGAATGTTGACTTATCTCTCTTATATTTTTATATTTTAAAGGAGGAATGAAGCGTGGCCTGTGTATCACTGTAAACAGTTGTTGTATTTTACTAGCGTCAATGATTTGCTTGTAATATGTCAAAAAGGAAACCCCATCAGTAAAAACTAAATGAAAACCAAATGAAAATCGTTAAAAATACAGAAATGCTCAAGTCTATTACTGGTAATGACAACACTAAATTTTATGTTAATCACATTATTGCTGTGATAAAGCTGGAAATCACATTTTTTGATGTGATAACTGATATTCACGTTTGATCAAACAAATGAGTTTTTGAAATTGTCAAAACAACAGTTAATATATATATAATTTACTTTTATTGTCTGAGTAAATGCTAAAAATCGCTCTTCTCTACACACAAACGTGTATTAGATACCCGAATATCAGTACACTCAAAGTGACTCACGTTTGTGGTTAAGCAGTTTTGCATTTGCGCGGAACTAGTCGAAACATTTGTATTAACATACTATTTTAATTGCGTTTTTATCATACAAACAATCTACATCAAAAACATTGATTTAACGTAATTATTTTGATTGTTTTCACAAGCGTGTATCATTAAATCAGTTTGATATACATTGCACTGAATAATAATATCATAATCCATATCTTGAGTTATAAGTATTAGATAGCTAATAAAATGGGTATTACCAAATCTGCATTCAAGGTCCGGACACATTATACCGCACTGTCTCCACGTAAGGGCAACGTCTGCTCTCAAAGTAGGTACCGTCATAGGCACTGTGTCAGGTATTTAAACTTGTAAAATATGAAATAGTAGTCCCTAACCTACAGCTTCCCTATTCTACAGCTTCCCTACCCTACAGCTTCCCTACTCTACAGCTTCCCTACCCTACAGCTTCCCTACTCTACAGCTTCCCTACCCTACCCTACAGCTTCCCTACTCTACAGCTTCCCTACAGCTTCCCTACTTTACAGCTTCCCTACCCTACCTTACAGCTTCCCTACAGCTTCCCTACTCTACAGCTTCCCTACCCTACAGCTTCCCTACAGCTTCCCTTCCCTACAGCTTCCATACAGCTTCCCTACCCTACAGCTTCCCTACTCTACAGCTTCCCTACTCTACAGCTTCCCTACAGCTTCCCTACCCTACAGCTTCCTTACTCTACAGCTTCCCTACCCTACAGCTTCCCTACTCTACAGCTTCCCTACTCTACAGCTTCCCTACCCTACCTTACAGCTTCCCTACTCTACAGCTTCCCTACAGCTTCCCTACTCTACAGCTTCCCTACCCTACAGTTTCCCTACTCTACAATATTGAATATAGAAGGGAAGGGAAGACTATTTCATATTTTTGCATGTTTACACACCTGAATAGTGTCTGTGTAGCTGGGTCTTCCCTACCACCCTAGTTACAACTGTGTCAATATAGCAGAGTCTTCCCTAACCTAGTTACAACAGTGTCAATATAGCAGGGTCTTCCCTACCCAAGCTACAACAGTGTCAATATAGCAGGGTCTTCTTTACCCTAGCTACAACAGTGTCAATATTGCAGAGTCTTCCCTACCCTAGCTACAACTGTGTCAGTATAGCAGGGTCTTCCCTACCCAAGCTACAACAGTGTCAATATAGCAGGGTCTTCCCTACCACCCAAGCTAAAACTGTGTCAGTATAACAGGGTCTTCCCTACCCTAGCTACAACAGTGTCAATATTGCAGGGTCTTCCCTACCCTAACTACAATTGTGTCAGTATAGCAGGGTCTCCCCTACCCTAGCTACAACAGTGTCAATATTGCAGGGTCTTCCCTACCCTAGCTACAACTGTGTCAGTATAGCAGGGTCTTCCCTACCCAAGCTACAACAGTGTCAATATAGCAGGGTACACCATAACTTAGTTACAACTGGGTCAGTACAACAGGGTCTTCCCTACCCTAGCTACAACAGTGTCAATATAGCAGGGTCTTCCCTACTCTAGCTACAACAGTGTCAATATAGAAGGATCTTCCCTAAGGTAGCTACAACAGTGTCAATATAGCAGGGTCTTCCCTAAGGTAGCTACAACAGTGTCAATATAGCAGGGTCTTCCATAAGCTAGCTACACCTGTGTCTGTGTAGCAAGGTCTTCCCTACCATAGCTACAACTGTGTTAATATAGCAGGGTCTTCCCTACCCTAGCTACAACAGTGTCAATATAGAAGGGTCTTCCCTAAGGTAGCTACAACAGTGTCAATATAGCAGGGTCTTCCCTAAGGTAGCTACAACAGTGTCAATATAGCAGGGTCTTCCCTAACCTAGCTACAACTGTGTCAATATAGCAGAGTCTTCCCTAACCTAGCTACAACAGTGTCAATATAGCAGGGTCTTTATCCCCTAGCTACAACAGTGTCAATATAGCAGGGTCTTCCTTACCCTACCTACAACAGTGTCAATATAGCAGGGTCTTCCCTAACCTAGCTACAACTGTGTCAATATAACAGAGTCTTCCCTAACCTAGCTACAACTGTGTCAGTATAGCAGGGTCTTCCCTACCCTAGTTACAACTGGGTCAGTACAACAGGGTCTTCCCTACCCTAGCTATATCTCTGCCAATATAGCACAGTAAGGAACACAATCACATATTTTTAGCTCACTAGGTCCGAAGGACCAATGTGAGCTTATGCCGTCATCGTCCGTCGTCCGCCGTCAACTTTTTATTTAAAACACCAGAGAGGATTTCAACCAAATTTAGTCCGAGGCACCAATAGGGATGCGCAATCATTTCTTAAATAAATGAGGTTGGTTTGACCCCTGAGGCCAGGGGGCGGGGCCCTGAAGGGGAACTAAGCTTTTTTGCTTCAAAACGCATCTCCTCCTAAACACCAAAGAGGATTTCAATCAAATTTATTCTAAAGCATCACTAGGAGAGGGCAATCGTTTCTTAAATAAATGAGGTTGGTTCGACCCCTGAGGCCAGGGGGGCGGGGCCCTGAAGGGGAACTTAGCTAAATTTGCTTTAAATCGCATCTCCTCCCAAACGCCAGAGAGGATTTCAACCAAATTTAGTCTGAAGCATCACTAGGGGAGGACAATCATTTCTTAAATAAATAAGGTTGGTTCGACCACTGAGGCCAGGGGGCGGGGCCCTGAAGGGGAACTTAGCTAAATTTGCTTTAAATCGCATCTCCTCCCAAACGCCAGAGAGGATTTCAACCAAATTTAGTCTGAAGCATCACTAGGGGAGGACAATCATTTCTTAAATAAATAAGGTTGGTTCGACCACTGAGGCCAGGGGGCGGGGCCCTGAANGTCATTTCCAAGACCGGGCCCCAAAGAGGAAAATTATCTAATATTTTGCTTTCAGACGCTAGTATCCCCTAATTGCCTAAGTGGATTGTACAAAATTTGGTCAAAAACATTATTGAGGAAGAACAAACATTTCTTAATTGAACGAGGTTGATCTGACCCCTGCGGTCCTAAAAAATGGTACAGCTAGGTTATCATATTCTATGGTGTAGTTTTCATAAATTGTTAAAAATTGGTTTCTAGGTTTATAAAAGGTTACAGTTGAATGAAAATTGAAGTATTTTCTAATCACACCCTGTAATATGACATATTACTTATTTCAAAATCTGTTAACATGGCAACTCAATGGAGGCCTCTGATTAGTTGAAAGTCAGATATTGTGGTCCCAGTTGGGTTAGAACATAGATCTTGTCTGGTTTTGAGGAAATTTCATATAAAGATGTACTAATGCATTCAGTTGTAATGACTTAAATATAAAACCAGGTGTGCGATACAAGTCCAATGGACCTCTTGTTCACATTTACATACCAGATGTAGGTGCCTCTGGCACATCAGTATACCGCATTGTCAACATGTAAGGACAAAACCCCAAAATACCTGCTAAAACCGCTAACGTTACTTCCCCGAACAGCACTATAGCAGACATCACATACATATCTTTACAAATCCTGGAGAGAGAGGTTTTCGGTGTTCGAATGCTATTGTTTGAAATTTATTGAAGTTGACTTTCGTTCACAATTTCGTTTGATTGTTCAAAAAAATACAAAAAAAACCAAAGTGGATTGGCCACGCAGTAAATTGACCAATCCTCTGTCATTGTTTTACACTGACAGAGGCTGACGACTGTTTGTCAGGGTTTTATTTTAAAAGTTGACGGTTTGATGTCTCTTGTGCAGGTAAAAGGCTACTGGTCCTTAAATGAAAGGCTAACAGTTAGAGTTATTCTTTGTCATTTTATAGGTACGACCTGCAGCGTCAAATGATACCAAGAAATCTGCAATGGAATTACTTTCTGGGTTTGCAGAAAGGACATCCATGGTAGGAGTGGCGTATATTCATACGTCCGTGCTTCATATGGCTAAGTTAATATGGACAGTGCTGCTTCTAGCTGCCGTTGGTGCTATGCTATTCCATCTCGTGTTCCTCTGCCAACAATACTATTCGTGGCCAAAACAGACCAAGATTACCATACAGTTCAGCAACCTTCCACCGCCCGCCATCACCATTTGTAACGCGAATCCAATCAGAAAGTCTCAGCTATCTCTCGCGTCTAAAAGTCTCAAGAATCTTATCAGTAGTACCCATCCAAACAAATACAAAAAGGAGTGTGTGGACATAATATCAGGTGCTAGTGATGACGTAACAGCTTCATCAGTAGGTGGTGTAGGAGGAGGTAGTGGTATGGGAACCGTTAATGGCAGTTCTGGAAGTGGTGGTAATGGAGGTACCGGCGGGTCTGTTACAAACGGAAGTAGTATTGGAGGAAGAGGAAAGGGCAAAGGTACCGGAAGTGTTACTGGTGATGGATCAGGAGTTGTTACAACAGCCAGTAGTACTGGAGGTAGCGGAGGAAGTGCTGGAGATGTGGCAGGAGTTAGTACTACCGGAAGTGATGATGGCTTAGGAGGTACTAGCACCGGAAATAGTATAGGAGGTCAAAGAGGTAATGGTGGAAAAGGAAAAGGAGGAGATGGATCAGGTGGTGGGAATACCGGAAATATCACTGAAACTAGTGGAGGACGTGGTGGTACTGGAGGAAGTACTGATGACAGGGCAGATGGCAGTACAACAGTAGTAAGTACTGTTGTTAGCGGAGGAAGTGGTGGTAGTGGAGGTGGTGATGGTGGAACAGTAGGTGGTACTACTGTAAGTAGTACCGGAGGTAGAGGAGGAGGACGTGGCGGTGGAGGAAGTACAGGAGGTGATGCCGGAAGTGGCACGACCGGAAGTAGCACAGGAGGTAATGGAGGAAGCGGTGTTTCTGGAGGTAATTTAGGTGGTGGAACAACCGGAAATAGTAACGGTGGTAAAGGAGGTGGTGGAACCGGAAGTGATGGTACCGGGACTGCTTCTAGAAATGGCAGCAGAAGTGGTGGTAACGGCGGTGGTGGTGGTGGTACTGATCCTGGTACTGGAGATACCGGAGACATGACAGGAAGTGCTGTACGTAGACTTTTAATATATTCCAATATACATATGTTCATATCACAATTATAGGGACCAAATTGGCCTACTACCCCGTTTAAAACACTTGACACTCTTTAGTTGTTCCGAGGACTTTCAAACCCTTACAAACAAAATCCCAATTGATTTATAACTAACCAACATTTCCACGTACAAAAAAGGAAGTTCTCGTTTTTATTTTTGATCTATTTTGTTTTCATCAGATACATTTTTGATGATACCGAGATCCAAAATATATTATTGATTTTTAATGTTGAACATTTATATTTTCATTTCCTTTTTATTTTCTAACCTGTTAAAACTTTGAAAAAATATTATATCCAATAGATTATTAATTGCTTTACAAGCATAAAAGGTGTACATTGTATCTATCTAACGTCCTTTCAGGCAAGGACACGAAGGTTTGTGGAAGACCTAACGGCTTTAAACCTTACTGACAGAAACGAGAACCCTATCGCTGACGACGATGACCCACTCGCAGCCCTCATGACCACTTTCAAGCATCTTTACATGAGCGAATCCAGGTTTGCCTTATTTATATGTATTCATGTTTTTAAGACCGACGTCGCCCATATGAAAAAAACAAAAAGAAGATGACTAGCACTATTCTTATAACACAGGCAAGTGTGTATATTTAGGCCAGACCAGTCATCCATACCGAAAATACATGTGTAACAGGAAAAGGCATAGATTGATAGTTTTCAGATATTGACATACTTGGCATCCACTATAAATTCTGAGGACATGGACAATTTTAAATCGACGAGTTGATGATACTTGAAGTTGAATAGACAAGACACATGTCTTCGACTTCCGGTGATTCCTGTTGAATTACAGATTAAGAATGATGTTGAGATACTTACAACATGAAACATTCTGGTCTAGTTAAAAGTCCTCCGGATTGTTAAATATAATAAGAAATGACAAAAGCGTTTCTTAGTACCCTCTTGTACTGGAAATTTAACTTTCCCTGATGATCCTCTACTAGGACGTAAGAATTGTACCTGCTGCCCCCAATTGCATGATCGTACGAGGCGACTAAATTTGTGACCTTATCTCTATTTCCTTTCTAAACAACTTTCTTCTTCCTAATGTCTCCCTCGACAATACGTTCGCCCCTGTGAGGAAGGCTTTGGGCTCTGTCCCCTGGCCAAGACATACCAAAGTCTTTAAAAATGGTAGTCTCTACTCCTGCTTAACGCTCAGCAAATTAGGAGTGGGGCGGCTGGTTCGCCCGTTGTCGGTATAATGTGACCGGGTGGGGCGTCCTGCTGGGGGTCTTCAGCAGTATGTTTCAGTGAGGTAGCACTATAAAGTCGGCATCAGTTCCGCGCTATCACAAGGAGACAAACACGGACATATCACAGCCTCACAAAATACACACACATACACTACACGCATGCATCTTGCACACAGGGGAGGCCGTCCTTAAATGACCTTAGCTGTTGATAGGACGTTAAACAAAACAAAACAAAATTAGGGAACTTCTAAGAAACTCTTTTGTCATTTCTTTAATATCTGACCATCACAAAGACTTGGAATACGTAATAACGACAGTGCAGGTAAAGGATTTTGTCTTTCATGGCAATTCGCCCAATTTTTAAAAAACAGAACATGTGTGTATATATATATATATTGTTATTCTAAGCCAATATTTATGTCAACATTTTGAAAGCTTCGTAAAACTTCATTAAAAAAAAAAAAAAAAAAAAATTGAGATCGATTTCTCTTTGTGTTGCTATCACCTTGATTTCTTTTGTCTTATTGTATTACGTTTGAGCTTCAATGCTGTCTGTTGGCGATACAGTTCGGTTAGGTTTTCCTTCATCTCCGTTCTATTTTACAGAGATATCAGGTATAAAATGGGACATCAACTTCAGTCCATGTTACTCCAGTGCTCGATCAACGGCAGAAAATGTTCTAGTAGGTAAGATTCAGGTCCAGTTAATTTCTTCATAAATTTTCAAAATAAATCCCCTTTCTTCGAGGATTAAACTCATAGAACAATAATCGATATACATATTAATATCAACTTTATTTCATTCCACATTAAGCTGCATGACACCACATAACATACACAGTACAGAGGATATATATATTTATTGGTTTTATTTGTAATTTACACCATGACAATTACCTGAATAAAGAATCACTAAATACTAGTATCTAATATAGCATAAACAACTTTTGTAATATTGATACCTGTATTACCCAAACCTTTTAAAGTATTTAAAACTTGTCAACAACCTTGTTTTTTTTACTATTGATAACTCTATAAACTAAACATTACAATGTATATAACAATATCAATATAACTATATGATTTAAAAATAGATAAATTCTTTTAAGATATTGAAACCTGTAGCAACAAAACATTTTTTTTAATAATGATACCTTAATACGATAATTAAAAAGGATTAAATGTCCATGTGAAGGATATAACGACCGACTAAAAAATGCTGCTTTCACCCTTCACAGGGCTCTTCAGCCAAACATTTTAAAACAATTGATAACGTTATCGACCAAATATCTTTATGACCAAATTTTTTAAAATATTGATATCTATATAACCTAAATCTTAAATATATTGACATCTGTATAACTCACATCCTTAATGATATTGATATCTGTATAACATTAATCCTTAATGATATTGATATTTGTATAACCCAAATCTTTAATAATATTGATATCTGTATATACTAAATATTTGATGATATTGATATCTTATATAACCTTAATCCTTAATGATATTGATATTTGTATAACCCAAATCTTTAATAATATTGATATCTGTATATACTAAATATTTGATGATATTGATATTTGTATAACCTTAATATTTAATGATATTGATATCTGTATAACCTAAATATCTAATGATATTGATATCTGTTTAACATTAATCCCTTATGATATTGATATCTGTATAACCTAAATATTTAATGATATTAATATATGTATAACCTTAATCCTTAATGATATTGATATCTGTATAACCTTAATCCTTAATGATATTGATATCTGTATAACCTAAATATTTAATGATATTGGTATCTGTATAACCTAAATATTTAATGATATTGATATCTGTATAACCTTAATCCTTAATGATATTGATATCTGTATAACCTAAATCCTTAATGATATCGATATCTGTATAACCCACATCCTTAATGATATTGATATCTGTATAACCTTATTTTTTAATAATATTGAAATCTGTATAACCCACATCCTTAATTATCTTGATATCTGTATAACCTAAATTTATGATTATATGAATATCTGTATAACCCAAATCTTTAATGATATTGATATCTGTATAACCTAAATCTTTAATGATATTGATTTCTGTATAACCTAAATCTTTAATGATATGGATATCTGTATAACCTAAATTTTTGATGATATTTGATATCTGTATAACCCACATCCTTAATGATATTGATATCTGTATAACCCAATTCTTCAATAATATTGATATCTGTATAAACTAAATCCTTAATCATATTGATATCTGTATAACCCAAATCTTTAATCATATTGATATTTGTATAATCTAAATCTTTAATCATATTGATATTTGTATAACCTAAATCTTAAATAATATTGATTTCTGTATAACCTATTTTTTTAATGATATTGACATCTGTATAACCCACATCCTTAATGATGTTGATATCTGTATAACCTTACTCCTTAATGATATTGATATCTGTATAACCCACATCCTTAATGATGTTGATATCTGTATAACCTTTCTCCGTAATGATATTGATATCTGTATAATCTAAATCCTTAATGATATTGATATCGATATAACCTAAATCCTTAATGATCTTGATATCTATATAACCTAAATCCTTAATGATCTTGATATCTATATAACCTAAATCCTTAATGATCTTGATATCTATATAACCTAAATCTTTAATGATATTGATATCTATATAAACTAAATCCTTAATGATATTGATATCTGTTTAACCTAAATCCTTAATGATATTAATATCTGTATAACCCACATCCCTAATGATATTGATATCTGTAAATTCTAAATCCTTAATGATATTGATATCTGTATAACCCACATCCTTAATGATATTGATATCTGTATAACCTACATCCTTAATGATATTGATATCTGTATAACCTAAAACCTTAATGATATTGATATCTGTATAACCTAAATCCTTAATGATATTAATATCTGTATAACCCACATCCTTAATGATATTGATATCTGTAAATTCTAAACCCTTAATGATATTGATATCTGTATAACCCACATCCTTAATGATATTGATATCTGTATAACACACATCCTTAATGATATTGATATCTGTATAACTCAAATTTTTAATGATATTGATATCTATATAACCTAAATCCTCAATGATATTGATATCTGTATAACCTAAATCCTTAGTGATATTGATATCTATCTAACCCACATCCTTTATGTTATTGATATCTGTATAACCTAAATCCTTAATGATATTGATATCTGTATAACCTAAATTTGAAATGATATTGATATCTGTATAACCAAAATCCTTAATGATATTGATATCTATATAACCTAAATCTTTAATGATATTGATATCT